ACATGAAACAAAAAGCTCCCACATTGCATTCTTTCCTCTCTCTCTCTCCTGTAACACTACCCTTCTACTGTTTTTTCCCTTCTCTCTCTCACCTCTTTTTGACCAGTCCAACAGTGCATCTAGCTAGCTATACCAAAACACACACCAAATTAACTATGAGACCAAATGAACCCTTTCCCCTTTAATTTGCTCTTCTTTTACTGGCAAGGTAGCACATCAAAGAAAGGAGAAAAAAGAATACCAAAAAGACAGAAAGGAGCAAGGGAGAGCACATGCTTTGGAAGAAGAGGGTATCAGGCCATCAGGGTAGTATGTGGTGGTTTGCTGTCTATCTTGGTCTTTCTGCTGCAGGTATAGCGCATCATGGTAGCTCATGATGCTACATGCATGGGAAAGAGGTCGAAATCAAAGCCAACAATGTACCTTGGATCCCCATGCCATCAGTGACCACTCTCTCTATATAGCTACCACTTGATCGATGATAGCTCAATTAGGTGTCTATTTTTCTTTGCTAAAGAAGTATTCCCATGGGTTTGCGTTGGTATTGTTCTCATAATGTTGTATTGAATAATTATCCGAGTCGATTGCTTCCGATGCATATAATGCACACAGTTCTAGTTTTTGGTTGGGTTGGCTCGATCGATGGCTTTATATGAAATAGCGGTTTTTGACCCTTCTTATGTCTATTCTATTTATTACGGAGAAAAGGTATGTTCATTATTCCCTTAATTCATGGCTCATTTAGAAATAACCAAATTCATGGGGGTGGTTCATGGTTGGAGTATTTCTTGACACCTACATGCATGCATTATCCATACAAAAGCTATATTACTATACACGTGCCTACGTATACACACTATAGTTTGCAAGCATTTGTATGTGAATATCATGGTTCCTAGCTAGCTATATATATAGCTAGCACAGTTAGGTGTCAGTGAAGATGCTTGTCATGATCACTAGGCAGCGAGAGATCCAAGAACTAGGCAAAGCCCTCACTTTGATGCTGCAGAAGTGCAGAGCAGAACGTATATATGCATGTATATTGCCATGCATATCGTCTCTGATGTGCATATGCAATGCATATATGCTTTAGCTTCTTCTTTCATATGATCCTCACATACACATGAAAAGAGGAGCAGATCAAAAGAGAAAAGAAGAGAGAGAGAGTTTCTCCTCGAAAGTCTCTAGCAAAAGCCTCTGAGCTGTGGAAACTTTGTCTCTCCATGACGCCTCGATATCTTTCATTCACAATTAGCTTGCTAGCTAGCTTTGTTCAAACATATCGATCTACCGATAAAGCTTAACTAATTAACTGATGAAATATAAGTATAATATCAGTTAGTTAATCACAAAGTAGGCGATCGATCACAAATTCATGTAATGAATGGGAAGGAATTATATATTCAGGGACACAAATTAAAACAATATCGTTACTACATCCGTTGTTTTTTACTTGATGTTTTGCATGTTGACAGTCTATTCAATGTATATGTATATGAATATAAAACCATATATTCAAATAAGTATATGAGAAAGGAGGTGGTGTATCTGAACAAATGGACTATACATCTTTTCTCTTACTACCTCCATATAAAAATGTAAGGCATGTTTTGTTTTGTTATAACAAGGCTTTAATTAACCAACAAGTAGTTGCTTTACTAATTAATATATTCCCTCAGTTTCATATTATAAGACTTTTTTATAGTATTTTTTTAAGTTTAACTAATTAACTTTGTACAATAATATAGCAACATTTGCATCACAAAACAAACACATTACCAAAATATATTTAATATTATATTTAATTAAACTAATTTGATATTGCTAAATTTTTTATGAACTTAGTGAACATAAATAAATTTGACTAAAAAAATCAAAACGACTTATAATATGAAACAAGAGTATCATTTATGTGATACAAAAGTGCAATCCGTACTTTTGAATATAAATCTAATAACATCAATTTTGTGTCATAAAAATATTCTAACAGAGCAATTGGTGGTCAAAATTTTGTGCTAAGGAAATAAAAAGTACCATATATTTTTTTACGGAGAATTATATTTTCAACATGGCACCAGTAGTGTGTTATATATTGAAAGAATATTAAATTAGTGCGGTTTTTCGGTTCACATTCTTTTGCTCCCATTCCTAACTTCCACGTATAAATTGAGCATATGTACCACAAGTGTACTAAAGGGAATTGAAGAGAGTCTCTTGAGGTGCTAAAAAGCGTTTGCAACATGCACTTTAGAAAAAGGAGAAAAGGGCAGGAGGACAGGAGTAGTAGTACACTATATATATACTACTTACAATCAAGACGCAAAATTCATCATCCATCTCGCAAAAAGATGTAGAATCCCTAGAGATGCCGATCAAAGTCCCATTCCAGGTTTGTCTCATGATCACAGATTGGAGGGGGCAGAAGGCCAGAGACGGCGGTTGAAGGCACATAATATATATATGCATGTCTGATGATAAAAGGAGCTAGATGCTGTTCAACGTTAGCCCATGCTAGCTATATCATGCATATGCATGGTTAGCTAGCTAGGACGGTTGCAAAGAAAGCAAACACACTCGTTCTAATAAGTATGCCATCTGTGCCTTTTTTTTTTAAAAAAAATATAAGTATATACCAATTGGTTTTGTTCTAAAAAATAATGGATGTCGTTTAAAGTTTCTAGGTTAATTAGCATGCATGCGTCCCCTTTGTGTTGTGTGCACGAGAATTTTCCTCAAAGATGTATTATTCACTCAATTTTTTTACAACTTTTTTTACAAGGATCACATTTTTTCCTAAGAGGCACAAATTGCCAAGAAACCATGATAACCGCGCTAGTGAAAACAAATTTGTTGGCCAATCTTCAAGGAATACTCGCCAAGTCTAGAGGGCAAAAGAAATTAATTCCATTTCATTTGCGGTTAACCATTGGGGAAAGCTTAATTGGTGGTCCGCTCTCGATACAGAAAACTATAGCCATTTCAAACTTTCCAGGATGACAAGAAATCAATACTTGTCGATTGAAACCACCAAAAATACACATTACCTTTGGGGGTGCTTTGAACCACTAATTCAATATCCATTACACACTCAAGGTAACATGTCATTGAGTGCGATAAGTCCTGTTGGAGGCGCCAACCACCAAGCAATTCGTCTTTTCATTGTCGGTTGGCACCGTCGAGCTTAACCTTTTTTGTGGTTTAGGCTAATATATTTGCGGTTCAAACCGCTGAGCTCCCCATAAAATTAATTGGTAACAACAAAATTTTGGATTCTGATAGTTAGTAGTAATGTATTTGCAACAACACTATTATGTTTCTTTACATGATCACCAAAGTTTCACCAGGTACGGATTAATTTCTTTCGTCTATAAATAACATAAGAAAAAAGGAGTGCAAAAATCACAGAGTACAATATTGTGTAAAAGTGAAAAGTGCTAGTATTAACGACAAGTTAGCAATTTACAACTGTCCTCTTTGCCAGACTAATTTTAGGGTTCATCTTCAGATGGAGGGAAATGATAGAAGATCTTTCTTTCCAAATGATCCTAAAGCAACAGACTTTAGGGTCCAAGAGGCATATATGCTTATATCTTCATTTTTTCTGTGTCTATGTTAAGCTTTTCACACACCTCACTACTTTCCAAACATGAGAATGTTGGGCTTGTGAAAACCTAAAGCAAAGGCAAGAGAATTGTAAAAGAAAAAAAAAGAAAAGCAAAAGGAAGCAGGGATCCCTTTTCTAAATCACATTCGTCTACCATTAAAAGAAGTGCCCTTTTGTTACATTTCTTAAGGGGGAGATTGTTCCTTTGCCTTCTAATATAAAGTGACTCCTCCTTTGCACAAGCTCTAAGTTTTGAATCCCTTGTGTGTTTTTGTACCCAGCAGTACGTACCACGTCATCTAGCTGGTTTATATATGTTCTTAATTATTTTCTCATGCATGATTTAAATTTGTATGATAGGAATATGGATAGGGTGCTATATACCTTTCATTTGTTGATCACCGGCATAGCTTTGGAGCTGGGCACAAAAGGCCCGGTGTGTCTGGTAGCTAGCACACACTCAACCTTATCTGATTCTAATTAACAAAGTGGTGCATGCAATTTCCTTTATGTGTAATCAAATGCTGCATTTAATTTCGTTATGCTCCTCAGAGATATGGTTAAAAGTTAACCGTCTTTAATAGTACTATCTAGACGCCGTTGTGTGATAGCCATATAGGGATTCGGTATATGATGTCTGAACACAACTCATGTGCAATGTGTGACATATATAACTAAAATTGTACACCCTCCATCCCATAATATAAGCATTTCTATATATGTCCAAATTCATATGTTATATATATTTTGAGACAGAGGTAGTGTGTGATACTATTATAAATGGTTCTTATTTTAAACCAGCTGCACTAATAAAAGGTTGAACATTGTTAAATTAAAAACCATATTTCTGATAATATTTTACCTTTGCCTCTCTTACAAAACTTGAATTTCGCGCTCATTGCTGTATAAATAGTCTTCTAGTTTCCATTTCTCCCTCCTCTTGTCAACTCGTGAAAAACAACACGACAGGCATTTTAGCACAAATTGCTAGCGATCAATTAAGGCGCGCCGTAGGCGATTTGAGAGTTTGCTCATCATGGTTGGAATGTTGGTGGCTTCGCATGGAGAAAATAAAATAAACCTAACTATACTTATATATAGTTATGTTCCTTGCTGGGATTTGTATTTTTTTTATCATGCATGAATCAGCTAGTCAAATTTGATCTATCATATATATTTTTGTGGATTAATATACGATATTGAAATTTTTGTTATCGAATACTTTCATAATTTTTTTGTCACCGTCTAGATTGCATATTTGCATGCAACAAATAACGCCACATGTCCTAAAGGCAAAACAATATGTACATACATGAAGGACAACAGTGAGATAGAGAAAAACTACCAAACCATATATAAATGAGTAATAAGTACCTTAAGATAATAATAATAATAATAATATTAAAATACCTTAATATATGTTGACCACAGCTAGAAATTTACAAGCTAGCTAGTATTTCCATCATATATAGATCAGTTCCATATATCCCATGCATCCAATCTCATGATCTCCAAAGATCGACAAAAAAAAACAAATATAAAGGAAAACTAACAATAATTAAACATGCCAACCAACAAAATAACATAAACAATTAATACACATCGACCAATTTCGATCGCCAGCATTAATATGATCAAGAACCCCCAAGAAAATTTCACCAAAGATTGGAATATTGATCACAATTATTCCCCAATTGATCTGAAGAACAGCACCCTGTCTACTGCCTTGAGCAGCAGCTGATGATGATGATGGCCTGCTTCTTCTTCTTCGCCGGTGCAACGCTCCTCCGCCGCCTCGTCGTCGTCGTCCATGCTCATGTTCAGATCAAAGCAAGACGGCGACGCCGCCGCCGCGACGGCTTCCTTGCCATGGTGATCATCACCATCCTGGTCGAGCTTCTCCACGCTGTACTCCGTCTTGGCCTTCTTCGCCGGCGTCGTCGAACTTGGGTTGAGGCTCTCGCAGCTGAGGACGACGATGGCGTCGCCGAGGAAGGCCTCCTCGCCGCCGCCGCCGCGGCTCCGCACCACGCCGCGCTCGATGGCGTCCCTGATGCCGTCGTGGCACCGCGCGTCGGCCCGGTCGACGCGCTCCATCAGAATGACGCGCCGCGGGTTGTCGCGCACGGCGTCGTAGAGCGCCTCGAGGTGGTCCTGGTCCCGCCCGCTCGTCGTCGTCGTCGTCGTCTCCGCCCATGGCCGCTTGCTCCGGTGCGGCTGCTCGGTGGAGCCCGACGACCGCGCCGGAGACGACGACGATGACGACGGCGGCGGCGACGCGTTGGCGGCGCCGCCGATGGACACGAAGCTCTTGGACGAGCCGAAGACGAGGCTCGCCAGCTCCCTCGCCACCCTCAACTTGCCATCCGCGTCGCCGCCGAGGAAGAGCATCCACGTGTGCTCCTTGGAGCTCGAGCAAGAGCTCGACCTCCTCGCCATGGCGGGCGCCGCCATGCCCGACCGGCACCGGAGCACCGTGCTGGCGATCTCCGGCACGATCACCTTCTGCCACGGCACCTCCTTCTCCAGCGCGCCGCAGAGCACCTTGAGGTTCTCGGCGCTCACCTCCTTGAACCTGGGCCGCCGCCACTCCACCTCCACGGAGCCATTGGAGGCGCTCGAGTCGTCGGACTTGATCACCACCTTGGCCGCCGCCGGCACAAGCCTACCAGCGCCGCCATCGCCGGCGATGTATGGATGCTTCGTCTCTTCGGCTTCGTCGTCGTCGTCGGCGACGAGCCATGGCTGGTACGGCTGGTGCAACCGGGTGTACTGCTCGTAGGACGAGACGGAGGAGCACGGCGACACCGCCGTGGACGAGATGTTCAGCGCCGTCCTGCGCGACGGCGAGCCGCCATGCGCCGACATCCATTTCTTCATATGAGCTGCAGGCTCCTGCTTAATTAATTAAGAGTGCAACAAAAACCTAATTAGTCAGTGGCCACTATACATGTACCGAACAATTCAACCCAAAAACCTAAGCTGATAAGAAAAGACGGAAAACTTCAACACACAACAGCAAATTAAATTCACTCGATCAAATTGGCAAATGTGAATTTGTGTGGGTATATATATTTTTACCTGATCGCGGCAATGGTGCAGCCATGGAGGGATGGTGGTGGTGGTCGTCGTCGCCGACGGCGGCATGAAGACGACTGACTGTGGCAGCAGTGCTTTCGTCGCGGCGGCGCAATCGCCGCCGCAGTAGGCGCCGGAGACGGCGGCGGCCATCACCGCCAGCTGCCCGGAGCTGCAGGCGCCACCTGCTGCAGCAGCGTCCAAAAGTGACAGGCAAGGCGACGGCGACGTCGATCCGTTCGCGCCTTTGGCTGACTGGTGATTGACTGCTGCTGCTGCCATTGCACCACTGCAAACAAACGCATGCAGGATATATATATAAGATGGTGATAAGATTCATCTGTCATGCACTGAAGATTCTACCCCACCATGAACATATATGTGTATTGATCATGCCTGCATATATATAGGTATGTACTCTTTGCTAGCTGATGAGTAGCTATACACATCTAATTTTGGGAACCTGTTTTAAATACTCGGGTGGACGTACACCCGTTTCTCGTATGTAACTAAATGGTTTGAAAAAAAATAAAAAAATTAACAAGTATGTAATATATCACTTCACAAACACGCAAGTTCAAATTTGACTTGTACAAGTTGTAACTTATGAAGTGGTAGTTACAGTTCTACACAATGCACACGCACTGATTAATTGTTTCAGTTAGGTGGTATAGATCCTTAATTGTAATCATGAATGTATATATATATAGTAGTGTTGAAGGAAAGATGTAGTAGTAGTACGTAGGAAATACTCAAAGATGCAAGCTAAAGGGATAATGTGAAGCTGATGACCTAGCTAGCTCATTCCCTGATGAAAAGCTTGGAAAGATGCGAGAGCTTTAGCTCTCATCACTCGTGGCAGGCAAGAAGAAAAAGGCGCCAATTGTACCATCTCAACCATCTCAAATAGATGAGAGTACATCGATCGTCGAACTGTGTTCGAACAGTCGCTGGCATTTCGTTTCAAATCCATGGTGATTAAAATGGATTATATCACCGCGCTTAACTGATTAGGGTTAGGTTAATTAATTACCTGTCGTCGTCGTCGGCGGCGGCGTCGGCGTCGGCGCAGGTGAGGCTGAGGGCGAGGCTGCCGGCGGGGACGGCGAGCGTGTGGAGGCCCCAGAGAGTCTCCAGCGAGGGGTGCCCCGTCCGGCACCGGATGTTCGTCTGGTACGTGCCGTGCCCGACGAGCCAAACGCCGCCGCCGCCGCCGCCGCCGCCGCACGCCAGGGCGCGCACCTCGGCGACGGCGTGCTCCACGGCGCAGTAGTAGTAGCCGCCGGCGCCTGCGCCGCAGGAGGATGGCGGCGGCCTCCTCCCGGCCCAGAACTCGGCCGCCCACGCGAGGTCCTCCACGACGAGCACCACCGCGCGGCCGCCGCCGCCCCTGACGGCGCACCGGAGCTCCGCCAGCCGCCGCTCCGCCTCCTCCCTCGGCGCGCCGCGGAACCGGGACACGGCGAGGGTGACCACCTGCGCCTGCGCGTGCTGCCTCGCCTCGCCGCGCCTGATCCTGTCCACGGCCGCCCGCGCCGCCGCCTCGGCCGCGGCGGCGCACTCGGCGACCACCATGACCCGCTTCTTGCTCCGCGTCGCCAGGCAGTCCAGGATGGCCGCGACGTCCTCCTCCCGCACCACCACCTGATCGATGCATCTACTAGGTTTCGCCTCTTGATGAGCCGCCGGCGGAGGCGAGCTGCTGCTAGGGTTAGGGTTTTGGGGCTTGGTGGTGGCGGCTTCCATGGAGGAAGAGACGGCTTGCTCGACGTTGGCCTTGACCTGGGTGCTGGAGAAGCCGGCCTCGCGCATGACGCGGCTGACGCTGGGGTCGTCGAGGATGGAGATGACGAGCTGCTCGAGCTCGATCTTGACGGCGAGCACCGGCTGCTGCTGCGTCTCGACGGAGCCCCGCCGCTGGTGCGCCTGGGCGCGCTTGAACGCGGCGACGAGCGCGTTCGACAGCGACGGCGGGTAGTAGACGCCGACGCCGTGGCCATGGCCGAGCAGCGGCGACGCCCCCGCCGACGCCGGGAGGCGGTTGAGGGCGACGTTGAAGCAGAGCTCGAGGGCCTTGCACTGCAGCGGGTGGGAGTGCGACCGGAGGCACGCCGCGCGGAGGAGCCCCGGCGCCGGCGCCGCCCCCGCCGCCTGCAGCATCGCGCTCGCCACGTGCAGCGGCGTCACCTGCGCGTTCCCGCGCCGCCGCGCCAGGCTCACCGCCTGCTTCACCACAGCCGCCGCCTCCGCCGTCAGCGCCTGCTGCACCGTGCACCCCCCAGCTCTCATCTCCAACGATGATGATCAAATCAACAACCTATCTTAAGATCTTTCTAGGATCGATCACAAGCTGATGATCACACTAGCTAGGTTTTGGAATCTTGGATTGGGTGATTAATTAGGTATAATAGCAACAGTGCAATTGATCTAGCTATAGGGAGAGAAGATGAGATGAGATGAAAGAATGAACAGGTGATGGAAATGAGGGGTCATGGGTTAGTGGGGGAGTCTGCTTCTGCTGCTGCTGCTTTATATGGTGTTTGGTGTGTGTCTCTAGCTAGCTGAGTGCTCATCTTTTTGCAGAGAGAGTGTGAGATGGTACAACACTGCTACTGGGTTGGGTTGGATGGATGGATTCTTGTGGTGTTTGGGTTTGTGCTTTTCTTGCAGGGGAGGGCTGAGTTGGGGTTTCAGAGAGGGAAGAGGGTTTCTTTCTTTGGTCCAAAGGGGATTTTGTGGTGTGGAAAAGAGGATTGCATGTGCTGACAAAGCAGCTACACAAAGCTACATCAGCTTTCTCTCCATCTCTCTCTGGATGGACACAAGCTAGACTACTGTAGCTGTCTTGATACTCCCTCAGTTCTTTTGTAAAAAAAAAAACTAACTTCTCATGACGAATCTAAACATAGAGTCTATATTTGATTCCTAGCTAGAAGTTGGTTTTTTCTGAGATGGATGAAGTAAATCATTCATGCCCTGTTTAGTTCCCAAAACAAAAATTTTCACCATATCATATCGAATATTTGGACACATGCATGGAGTATTAAATGCAGACAAAAAAATAAAAACAATTACACAGTTCGTCGGGAAATTGTGAGATGAATCTTTTAAGCCTAATTGTGCCATGATTTGACAATGTGGTGCTACAGTAAACATTTGGTAATAATGGATTAATTAGGCTTAATAAATTTGTCTCGTAGTTTTTGGCAGAATATATAATTTATTTTATTATTAGACAACGTTTAATACTTCAAATGTCTATCCGTATATCCGATGCGACACCCTAAAACAAAAATTTTTGGTAACTAAACCGGGCCTCGGTTGATAGCAGAGCACCTAGGTGTATTGGTGGAGTACTAGCTATAGTAGTACTAGATGGCTAGCTGGTTTAGCATATGGATGGGCTAGTGCACAGTGTCTGTAACTAGATTGTTTGTTTGTTTTCTTGTCATGCATGCATGCAAAGCAGACTTGCAATGACTGTGATAAGCTAGAACTAGCTGCCTGCATTGCATTGCATGTATCTGCATCTAAAGAATAGAACTCATATATAGTACTAAAAACCTTATCTGCAGGGATCATTTTGATACTACCATTTGTGTGAATGCATGCATCAAAGTGAGTAAACTCAACCTCCTAAAATTTAGAACCTGATCTGGTAAAGATTTAGGGTGTCTCCAAATTATGACTTGATCTATCATTGGTGCAGTAGAGCTGATCATAGACTGCATTATTTTTATGCAAGCGAGATTGTGCATATATTGATGGATCATTTGTGCTTTTTGCCGAGCATTTTTTTTTTTGCCAAATCTGGCAGGGTGCATTGCCGCAGGTAGAGGGGGAATACGAGGGATGGGATGCCTGCGCCAGGGAGCAGAGATTCCATTTGCTAGCTACTTCTGCTTTTTTACTAAAGATTTTATTTCCAGTGCCTTTAATTTGATTTGATTTTTTTCATACAGTTTATTCATGGATGAAGAAGATGGTTAGTGGACAAGACGGAAAGCCCGCACGTTGCTGCAGAAAAATTGAGCGATAAAACGACTCCACGATCGAAGAGAGTTAGAAAGATAATATCGTCGTATATCAAGCTTCCCAAGGCTAGAAGTAATTAAGATGACGTAAGATTTGCTAAAAAAGAGGTAATTGGGAGAGCAATTGTAAAAATGCATCATATTAACTACTAATGGAGAGCACTTAAATTAGTACATAGGATTTAGGAAAAAAAAAGGTAGGCAAATTATACCTGTCTTATCGTGTCATCTATGGAACAAAGAGGCAAAGGCTCCTAGCCCTTATGATCACAATGAGTTTCTTTATAAACTCGACTCCAAGTTCCACCACAACTACTCCTAGCTAACAATAGACTAAAATTCACAGCATGCATGGTGTACATATATCTGAGAGATTCTACTGACACTTTATTTGCCTTGGGATCATAACAAACGGACCCATCATGTTAGTTAGGGCATGTTTAGATCCATTTGGAATGGCAAATGGCAAATGGCAAAAGTTTTGGTGGCAAAAGTTTTGGCATTGCAAAAGTACTAGTTGGTGTTTAGATGCATGTTAAAGTTTTGCCATTCTAGCACTAAAGTGAGAGAGAGAAAGAGAGAGGGAGTGGTCCCAAAGCACTTTTTGGTACAATTTGCTACTATGGACTAGCAAATGCCAAATGCCAAATTGCCAACTTTTGCTACTAGTGTTTAGATCCAAAATGGCAAAAGGTGCAACAAAATGGTAAAACTTTTGCTATTTTGGAGAATCTAAACAGGGCCTTAGCTTTAATTTGTTCTACTAGCTATGGTTAGTACTAGCAAGGAGAATGGATAATGTCTAATATTGCTAACTTTAGTAAGGCCCCACAGCTTTTTCTTGCAAGATGCAACTCCAGCAAAAGTATTGGTCCTTCTCCTTTCATCTTATAAACATGGGTACCCTATAAACATATATAATTACAATCACAATTATGATATCTAACTACTTCCTCAGATTCTAAATGTAGGTCATTTCATCCTTCTCAACTCTTTCATAAATATAAGTTGCTTTAGACTTTCTATATATGCACTTTTATTTATCCAAAAAAATATATCTTAGTTCTTGCTAAGTAATGCCCTACCCCTCATAAAGAAATGTGTCTCAACTTTTATGTAGTACTTTCTCTATCTATTTTTGATAGTTATATTTTTAAATCTGAAAAATTTATTTTTGATAGACATATTTCAATACAACAACCTATTCTCTTAATGACCTTCTCGGATTTAATGCGTAACTCTCCATTCCTCCACACAAGATTGGCTACATGGGCATCGAGAAATATAAATATTAATGAATCGCGTGTTTATGAGGAATGGCTAGTAGCATGTTTAAATGGATAATAAGTAGAATTACCTATCCTTTGGTGGGTGTGCCAAAATAAAATATGACTATCAAAAGTAGATGGAGGGAGTATAAATGAGTGGTAACAAATTCATTTGACCTGCTACGTGCCTTATACTAGCTTCTTTGTGCACAAATCTAAAACGACGACTTATGTTTATTTGGCACGGCTCAGGATTCAATATTTGTTAGAGCTAGATATCCCTAGCTAGCTCTAGAAATCTATGGTATCTGGAGCTATTAATTTACATTGATAATATTGTGATGAATATCGTTTTATTCCTATTTCAATTGAAATATAAATTTTAAAACCGTTATAATTTAACTTAGAAACTCCAAATTCAGCGTGGATATAGGACTTGGAGCTATACCAAATAGGGCCTTTATATTTCAGTAATGCTCTTCACAAATTCACGGTTTAGCTAGTAAATTATTTAAACGCGTACTGATCTTCTTTTACTAGTGACTGATAAACAACGAGGCTGAAATGAAATGCTCGTTCCTTCTTGCAACAAGAAGGGGAGCAACACGCATACATCATGAGATCATCAGCATGACACATGCGTATACATATATAGTATTATGTATATGTACTAGGTATGTAGTATTATATGGGCATAAACCAATAATTAGCATGCAATAGGGAAACGGCCGGGAATCCCCAGAGCAGGTAGCAATGATGGTGATGCAACATTTGATACTTTATGTGATCGACGATCTGATCGATGGATCTGATGTGGCCTCTCATCTTTTGAGAGAGAGGGAACTTGGGCCCTGCCTCTGCAGGCAGATCGATCGACTGATCGATCGATGGATCAATAACGATCGAGAGGAGAAGACGATGATCTGCAGCTGCAGGCATATGTATGTATACGCATATTGCATGTCATTTCTTTTTTCGCCAGGTTATTGCATGTAATATCTACTGCGTACTCTCTTCATCCAAAAAGAATACTCCTTTTATTCTATGTTAAGTGTAGTTGTGAGTTGTTATGACCAACGTTTAACCATCCGTCTTATTTAAAAAATTTATAAAAAAAATTAAAAGAAGTAAGTCACGCATAAAGTACTATTTATGTTTTATCATCTAGTCAATAAAAATACTAATCATAAAAAAAATTAAAATAAAACGGACGATCAAACATTGGACATAGAAACCCACAATCACTATATTTAAAATAGAACGGAGGGAGTAACTGTTAGAAACGAATCTGGATAAATATATGTTCAAGTTGGTTTTTTCTAAGACGAGATGTACATAGTTTGTGCATATGGAGTATATCAATCGGGAATTGTGTTCGTACGGCCTCTTCCTGTCTGGACTGTGTTCAAAGGTATCAGCAGGAAAAGTGTCGACACTGAACGCACTGCGTAGATATGTCATGCACTGACGAATGAATGCATGCATGCAAGATTTCAGTTTATGTTCTATGTGACGTACCATGCATGAACTAACATCTCTCTCACAGGCCATAACACTGTATATTCATGGCCGTTTAATTAAAAAAAAGCCCAAAGGTTGGAGCTTTCTATATTTCTGTTCCCTCAAAAGCAATTTATATACTTTACGAAATATGATAGTACTTTTATATGGCCAACATTCTATATATACAATGCCATATATATAGGGATGGAAAAATAAAAATTCACATATATATATATATATATATATATATATATATATATATATATATATATATATATATATATATATATATATATATATATATGGTTGTCACAATTTCTAGTTCATTGACAAAGAATTACATTTCATTACTTTGCATAAATTTCCATGGCTATTAGTACTGAAAAATGAATGGAGAACTGCTTCGTCTTTTGATGGAGATCATTGTTTATATATATTAGTGAGATCATTGATGTGCTGGGTAGATTGGTAGGAACAATTAACAGTAAGGTTAAAAGCCAAAGCAATGCATGAAAGTGCGGTTAAGCGCCATTGACTGGGTCATAATTGCGTACATTTGCATATCAAAAGTCGTGCTTCAACGTTGTTCTTTGTAGAGATATGACCAGAGAGATGGGAAAAAGACTAAAAGATCAAACACTAATGATCATAAGTTGCTCAATTTTTGTCAGGCCCTTGCACCTTCCAAGAAATCTATCTTCATTTCTCAATGATAAATTCTCATTATATTTGTGCGCAATCCATGATACACATCAACATAAAAAACAGTAGTGCAAAACATAGAATATTTGAATGTTTGCATGCAGACTCAAAAGTATGAGCAAAATTTTGTCATGATCATCTAACCATCTCTAGTGAGCTTTTTGATATATGCTTTCTTTATAGGATTCTGAGTAAGCTGTCTATACATAAATTACTACAATGCAAGATGATCTTTCTCACCGTATGATCTTTTCAAGCTAATCCCAGGTCACAGTCAAGAAAAGCTTTTGTGACCATATGGGGCCCAGAGGACAGCAAAAGGACAAGCCCTAATGATAGCAAAGGCAGTGGTATTCTGCAAAGGCAAAGAGGGAAAACTACAAAAGGAGAGCTCTTCATGTAAAAGTACACACAGCATCATCTAAGCTGCTTGGCAAATTAGAAAAGCAAAGAGAAACAAAGTGGGGAAGAAAAAGGATACAAACCATATGAAAGGGGAAAAGGAACACAAAAGACAGTAATTAAAACCATATAAGCAAGGCACTAATCTCTCTAGCTCTATCCAGCTTTAGTTCTTTTAGCCCTTAATTAGTCTTTGCTTAACTAGTTATCTGTTGCAAGCAAAGCATGCATGCATGACACAGGAAGGAACAGCACAGTACATGCAACAGGTTAGCCTGTCGAGAGATCAGATTAAACTAATTAAAACAAATACTATCAATTAGCTAGGCCAGCCCTGTCATCTGTTTCAGGAACCGATCCTTTTCAAAGCTGTAATACAGAGGGAAGAAGGACGCTAAAAAGCACTTATGTGGCATTATCCGGCTAAAAGCATCCACATTTTACTACTATACACAATGTTTAGTGATGCTCTTTCCTTCACAAATAGTATAAAGGACTTTCATCCTCTCCATTTGTTCACAAATATAAGTACTTAGAGTACTACTTGTTCTATCGATGATCGATCACCTTCTATTCAAATTTCTTCTCGTCTTACTCTAAACTACCCTTCGGTCTCCAACCACTTCTTATATATGATGAGAGATATCATTGTCTTATTTTGTTAATCTTTTATCTTTTTAAAAGTGTCAAAAATCTCTTATAATTGTCACGAAGCGAGTACCTGTGGCCTACGGCCTGACCTGACCCAACCTGACTCCGGTGAGAGGAGCATGCAGCACTAGAATGAACAGTACGTTCAAGCAGCTAGCAGAGCAGCAGCAATGGAAAAGAAAAGTGCATGTCAAATCATTCCTCCTTCAATTCCTTAAGCTGAATGCATATGCACATGCAGGCATGCAGGCATGCAGGGTGATTTGTCAGTGAGTTACGCATGTACAGGAATATGCAGAGATGCGTGCAGAATTGCGGATGGATGCAGATGGGAGATGTCATGTTTGTGTTTGTGTTTCTGTGTGTCCTATCACTTCTGCTCGTTCTAGTGGTTGCTGCTAATTGGGCGCATGTATGCATGCTTGGATTGTGTATTTGTGTTGTGTTGTGTTAGATCAGGAACAGTAAAGTGTTAGTACTGTTGGTAGCTAGGAAGAATGTATACAGGAATAGGGAGGCAATGAGAAATTAGCTTGGAAAGAATGGCCGGTCATCGCTAACTTCGTCTGGTTGTTGCTGTGCAATCGGCTATTCTTCTACTGTCTTTTTTGCCTTTTTGCAGCTGTGAGAGATCTCAGGTAGATCGAAATATTCCTGACCCGCGTCGGCTTGTTCAAACGGCAGCATGCATGTATCATGTATGGATGGTTAATTGGTTTCTTTCCTCCTTTTAATCTATCTATGGGCGCCGGGATCACTACAGGATATGATGTTTTTTTTAAGAAAAGGTAAAAAGTTAATCCTTCTTATAAAGTGCAGATGTAAAATGATTTTTTTTAAAAAAAAGATGCAAAATTAATGATGTACTACCTATGTCTCAAAATATAAGAAGATTTAGGATGCAAGTAGAAAATTTTGGTGGAATGTTGTGATTTGTTGAGAAGAGAATGTAGGTTAGAGAAGTTATTATATTTTGAAAAATAAATTGTAAAAACCAGAAGTTGTTATATTTTGAGGTGGATTAAGTACTTTTTTTTCAACTAGCAATTGTTTTCTAAGATGGCAGATAAATTTTAAGCATAAGTTGTACTACATCTATATCCTCTACTTTATAGACATACAAATAAATTAAAATTTGCTAAAATCCAATTGGTTAGATTAAAAAGTTTTTTACACGTATGTCGCCGACTTGCAACAAAGTTGTCTCATGAGGATCTTCCCATCGCCGTGTCCCCTTCCTCCTGCGTCTCTAATGTCCTTATCACTGGCGAATTGGGGGAGAAAGGGAATACGTCTTTTGTTTTAGTTAAGTATGTATTTAAGGTATCCTTCTAATAATTTTTTAGAGGTTTAGATTTATTAGTTCGTATAAAATTTTTCCGCTTTGGTCAATAATGGAGTTATTAGGTTTGTATATGGAATCCATCTATCATTTTGTACGCGGCTACTCCTTCGTTACGTCCTTATCAAGGGGGAATTTAACTATTTACCACTATTAGGTTGACAATTATCTAAATGCCCCTCTTAAGTTTGCATATATATTTTTTTTGCCTTCTTAAAAGATGCTTTCTTAACTATTTGCCACTTTATCCATGTGGCATGCTAGCGTGGCAACGCAGTATAGTAGAAAGTGGATGTGTGACCCACTAGTCAGCCACCTCTTCCTTTTCTCCCCTTCTTCTCTCCTTCTTGCCCAACCACCACCGTCTCTGAGGACGACATCATCGGCATCGGTGCTGAGGAGACAGCGGCCGCCATGGGACACCGCCGCCGTCATCCATCCATGGGACAGCGGCCGCTCCGGAGTTTTGGCGGCCATGGCGAGGCCGAGGCTGCGCCGGTAGGCTTCCTCACCAGCGAAGCAGTGGCCTTGGCGTGGCGGAGCTCAAGCGCCTCGCTGCGGTGCGGACTTGCTCCGCGACCTCAACACCGCCATGACCGCCATGGGGGGTGCCGCCGCCGTCATCCACCACCACCAGCACCACCACCTGCCGCTCTGGAGCTCGCGGCGGCCATGGCGAGGCCGAGGCTGCGCCAGCAAGCTTCCTCACCGGCGAAGTAGCGCCGCAACGCGACCTTGGCGTGGCGGAGCTCGAGTGCCTCCGCTACAGTGCGGACCCGCCGCCGCCATCATCCACCACCACCACCTGCCGCTCCCGGCCTTCGACGCCAATACCGGCGGGCACAGCCACTACGCACCGCTACTGGTCCTGCCGGCACCTCCTCCGCCGCCGCCGCCGGCTGCTACTTCCACTCGTCCTCCTCTGCGACCACAAAGTGGTGTCGCCGGAGCTGTAGCTCTCCCCTCCCCTCACCGGAATTGGAGAGAGAGCAGGAGAGAACGTTGCCACGCTGGCATGCCACGTGAGCAAAAGTGGTGAATAGTTAAGACATCAATATATGCAAAACTAAGAGGGGCATTTGGATAATTGCTAAACCAATTAGTGGCAAATAGTCAAATTCCCGCCCTATCGAGGGCTTGTTTGCTGGTTCATCGATTATCTAATTGGTTATGTTGCTTTAGGATCCTGTGATCAATTAATTCTGTGATGCCGGCTTGATAATTTGTCAGAGTGAATTTGGTGCGGGCGATGCTTGTTATTGTGATGTGTCATAGTTGGTTAGTTCTTTTTTCTTAAACAAAGTACAAACGCATTCGTTCACAACGCACGCATACTCTCCCATATCAACACACACGCATATCTTATCCCTATAAACACTTTTGAAAGATTGGATCAACATATCTTAAGATTGACAAAGACATCATAAACACCTCGTGGTCGATAAATGTCCCCTACCATTTAAAAAATAATTAGCCATACATGTGTTAAGCACCATGTAGGGCAAAACCATCTTAAAAGAATGCTCGTGGAGCCGATTTACACCGCTTTTCAAAGACGAGGGTTTTCGAAGAGGGGGGCATAATACCCGGTTTTATGGTTGAGGGAGGCAATTCAATCAGGAGCAAGATACAAAACTTGACATGGGCTTCTTACTCTTGGGCCTTCCCTCCCATTTTCTTCCATGTCTTCCGGCCGGAGTTAATACGGGCTGAACCAATACGGCCCTTCATCTGCACAAGATGTGGCCGCAGCTCGAACACGAAGTCCCGAACAAACCAGTCTGACCGAATGAAAAACAAAACCGTGCGAGCAATCCAACCCAAAACAGAAGCGATCTTGAAACGCACTAACATGTATACATGTATAACACGACCAAAACAAAGCCTTATTTGTTAGGGAACAAAGTAACAGCTGGTGGCGAACAAGTAACAAAATCCGATCAGACGAGCACACGGTACTACACTTTGGAGACGAAACGCAATGGCTCTCGCGAAAGCAAAAAAACTCCCTACATCCATCACCAGGCATATGCATATGTGTGCTTAGATGGCCGCGAAGTACTCCTTGCTTCCCTTGGGGTCAGGCTTCATCGACTTGTCACCGGGCTTCCATCCGGCCGGGCACACCTCGTCCGGGTTGTCCTGGACGTACTGCAACGCCTGCAGAGTAGAAGCACAGCAAATGTGTGGTCATGTCAGCTAACAGTTGTGATCAGTGAACCACCGGGTTAACTGAAGAAACCCATACTGGAAAACACACATGAACTGGTCCCCCCTATATGCAGGATGGACCAGGATTGGCCCACCGCCCACCTAGCAACTTCCACCCCCAAAAACCACAAGGTCGCCCTGACAGCTTGGCCCACCTAGCAACTTCCACCCCCCAAAAACCACAAGGTCGCCCTGACAGCTTGGCCCGATTAAGCCAGCCTGATAACTTCATGTTGAGCTATGCCCAGGATGAGCCTAAGCAGATCCTAGATGCACTTTTCTGAGCCTTTGTTTTTTTTTCCTTCAGGTTCGTCAGGTAAATATTGTGGGTCCTTGATGGGTCTACAGTACTCTTACAATATGTGCAGAAAGTAATGTATACTCTAGACTCGATGCCTACATGTAGAACAATGTAGACGTTCATCTTAGCAAATAGAAGTACAAAGAAAGGTGTTCAGTTCACTGGTTGAAAGGTGGTTGCATAATCTAACGAAGTGCATATAAAGTTTCTAAAACACAGAGCACTACTTTGCTCTACATCAAAACGCACCAGAACCATTTTATGGTGCATGAGTTGTGCTTCAAGATAACCATCTTTGCAAAATGACGTGTTTATCACGCACTACGGGTGCTCAACAAATGTGCTCTGTTTCTGGGCTAAAATTCCAAAATTAGCAACTAGTCATTTATTATTTTATTTCCTAGAGGCCATAGACCCATAGAGAGGCCCTACTCAAAAAGCAGCAATTTGATGTAATGCCATACCTGAAGGGTCCTCATGGTCTCATCTACACTGCGTCCAATGGCAAGGTTGTTAATGGTAGAGTGCTGAATCACTCCCTCCTTGTCAATGATGAAAAGTCCTCTCAGAGCAATTCCCTGAAAGATTAACGTTCAGATTTAGAAAACATAACAAGCAGCTAACAGATCCTGAAAAGTGCACCAGTTGATAGCAAAGAATCTAAAGCAAGAATGCTATGGTTGGATGGAATATGGATACCTGGTCAGGGATCAAGACACCAAAGGACTTCGAAATTGATTTAGTAACATCTGAAATCAATGGGTATTTCAGATCACCAAGCCCACCAGATTTCCTGTCTGTCTGCACCCATGCAAGATGGGAGAACTACAACCAAAGAATTATTTCACATGTCAGATCACCAAAAATGATGGAAAAATACCACTAAGGTTATTGCTATAATGGAACTACAGAAAATAAATCAAATACTCCCTCTGATTCAGAAAGAGGGGAATCAATTCTTACTTACCGTAGTTTTCAAGGTGTCACTTTGACCATAATATTTACTATAGTGTATTAGCATGAGATTTAAAAGATGCCTTTTATGATAAATATGCCCCCATAATTGTATTGTGATGAATATGGAACAAAAGTGGAACGTCTTTTGTATCAAAGGGATTGACATATCATAACTGTACAAAGCAATAAAGTAAGACGTAAATGCTCTGCTCCACTAACAAAGTAGGTCATACAACATGACAACCATGTGATCTAGAATAAATAAGTATGTTGTAACACTTAAGGCGTCATAATAAGATACAAAAGGAAAGATCTTAGGGACAAACTGCTGCTATAAAATTGATTTTACGGTTAATCAATACATTAACCAGGCATGCATTTTAATGGGAAGAACAAAGCATGTGTGACCCTATCCCATCGTCCACATATTTTTAGTCACACCATCACTCCCAATACGAGAATAGTTAGAAAAAGATATTCAGAAAATGGTGAATTTAGCTAAAGAATTGCATGCGACTACACTGAGCCCACAACTATGTTCTGTAAACCATTTCTCCTCGAAAAAAAACAGCATCCAAATATGCAAAGCTTCCAAAGATTTCTTTTAGAACTTGGAAGTGCTAAAATTGCACTCATAAGGACAGTAGTTATGCTCCAAAGGTCACATAGCATGTGAATTTGCAGAATATTATATACAACCGATTGATCTAGCCACATGTATCTATCTATAGAGAGAGGGAGACACTAATTTATGTTATGAACTATTATGTACTAGCTTAATCAAACTTGCATGGCCAAGTGCATGCTAAAACTAAAAGAACTCCACATAGAACCACCTCTTGAGTTGGCAGGATCTTCTAAGGTTTTGTGAATGTGGCTTGGCTTTTTGTGGATTGATGTTTGATTGCAACTTATGGTAATTCTTTTTTTTCAAATCCATTGCAATGCACGGTTATTTTGCTACCACCACCTCTTGAGTTGGTGGGACCTTTTAAACAACGAGTAGATATTTGCGTATGTGGCTTTTAATAATGTTATGTATGTGGATGATATTTTTTTTGCAAAATATATATGGTTTCTACTAGGAATTACACAAAACTATTCAAGTTTAAAATTTATTTGAGCTCAATCGCAGTGCACGGGACATTGGGTAGTATTGATGAAAGCATGGAGTACGAGGGCGCTACAACATACCACACTGTCAATTGAAACACCGAGGATCTCAGTGTTCAACTTCTCGAACTCATCGTATCTGTCACTGAAAGCGGTAATCTCTGCAAACATCAGGAATGCATTAATCGGCGCACCAGAGCAAACTTCACTGGCACTCACGATGAGCATCGATTGGGGCCCTTAACGCGAACATTCCGTGCTCACCGGTCGGGCAGACGAAGGTGAAGTCCAACGGGTAGAAGAAGAGAATGACGTACTTCTTCCCGATGTAGTCGGACAGCTTCACCTGCAATCACAGAGGAGCGGTGGCAACCAACCAACCACAGGAGCAATAATCAGAGCTCGGAGCATACACAACCACCAGCTACCAGGAAATTTTCTGTATCTGAGAAGTGAGATATGAGCCGATGAGACGCATACGTTGATGAACTCCTGGTCGAAGACTGCCTCCGCATCGAAGTCGGGCGCCTTGTTCCCGACCAGCGGCGCATCGTCCTAACACGGCAAGAGCAGAAGTAAGCAAGCAGGAGAACCGAACCAACGGAGAGCAATCAAATACAGGTAAAGATTGACGGGGCTCACCACACCGCCGGCGCGGGCGACGAAGCTGCTGGCCCGGGCGGATCTGGATGAGGAGGCGGAGAGGCGGAGGGGCCTGGCGGCGGGAGCGCGGGGGAGGGAGAGGGAGTGCGGCGCGGCGGGGGGGATGCCGGCGAGGGGCTTGGCGGAGGAGGAGGAGACGGCGGTGGCGAGGGAGGAGCAGCAGGCGGCCATGGCCGCAGAGCGGAGTGGATGAGGAGGGGATTGGGTTGGATTGGGTGCGAGAGGGGTTTGGGAGCTTGGGTGCCTCCTGCCACTGTGGGATCGTGCTTTTAAATAGGGACGTGGCACCGCCGCTGCACACCACAGCGCACACGGCACACGATCTCCACACTTTCTGGGCCTCCAATCTCGATCCGCATCTGTGCCGCACGCGCCAAGCACTCGACCCCATCGGTAAGAGCAAGGTTTGGAATATTTATAATAGCCTCTCCAATAGTTTCTTCAAGCCAAATCTATTATATCTATAAAGTAATAGAAAAACAAGCCTCCACGTTCGCTCTCACGGTTTAAAAATTCTCACATTAATTAAAAAAATAAGAAAAAAGAAAAATAGAACTAGATTAGGATTAGTTAAAAACTGAAGAAAGAAAAAAAAAGACATATTAAGAAACTTGAATTGGACAATCGGTAAAAAAAAAAAAGGAAAACCTAATCTTTCCTTTTCCTTTTAGAAAAAAAATCACGTTTTATGTGTGCAATGTCCGATTGGACAATGCAGAAGAATCTCTTGCAAGAAAAAAATTACCTAAACTTGGCTACAGTAACCGTGTACAGCACAAATCACAAGCGTGCATGTATGTGACAGGTACTATCCAATATTGGCTAACTGTTTATCTCTATTCTCTCCGTTGCAACAAATCGAATCTCTGATGACGGGTTCAGATGTGCAGACTCCTGATGTATTTATCCATCTATCTATATTATCTTAATGTAGTAGGAAAAAAGGCCACCATGTTAGCTCTCACTTCCTAGAAACTCCCATAATATAATCCATAATAATTAGAGAAAAAAAAAAGGAGTCCAAACAGAAACACGTGGTCAACAATTCAATATATCTGAAATTCAGAATAAAAAATAAAGAAAAATTAGAGAAGAGTCTACGTAGATGTACAATTTAGAAAAATCCGAAACTCGGATTAAAATTTTAAAAAAATTAATATTGAGATAAAAGTACCTTTAGAAATACAATTTAGGCAAAAAAATAGATAATATTAAGATAATAAATACCTAAAATTTGGAGAGAAAAATAAATATTATGAAAAAAATTGTTCATGTACGAGTATTGTATAAAAATAGTTTGAAGTTGGATTACAACTAAATAATACTCCTTCCGTACCAAAATATATCAACTTCTAGCCTCTATAATTTGTCTCAAAATAATATAGGTATAAATATAATTTATAAATACCTATAACTAAGATTCAAAAAAATTATAGAAAATAGATTTTTTTTTTTGAAAAATAGTAATTGAAAGAGTCTATTAAGAGTACAATTTTTAGAAAAAAGAAAAAATGAGAGTTCAAGTGAAAATTAGAAAATAAAATTCAAACTATGTGAAATTCATAAGTAAAACTAAATAAAACTAAAAAAGAGTCCACATATAAATACAGGAGCCTCGACATTCGCTCTCACGGCCTATAAATTCTCGTATTAATTGGAGAAAAGAAAAAATATAGTCTATCTAGAAATACAATTTGAAAATAGCTGAAATTCAAGATTAAAAAATAAGTAATATTGGAAGAGGGGACTAGAGTCCATATAGTCATACATTTTAGAGATAATTGAAATTTGGAATTAAAAAAAGTTAAATATAGAGGTTAAAGTCCATGTGAAAATGCAATAAAGAAATAACTAAAAAAAGTTAGAACTAAAAAAATTAGAAAATTAAAAGTAGGCTTTATAGTCCATATAGAAATATAATTTAGAATTACAAAAAATCAAAACTAAAAATAAACAAGATTGGAAGAAGAGACTAGAGTCCATATAGGCATAAAAATTAGAAATAATAAAAATTCAGAATAAAAAAAAATAAGAAAATTAAAAGTACATATTAGAGTCCATATAGAAATACAATAAAGAAATAACTAAAATTCAAAGTTAAAAATAAAAAATATTGGAAGAAGAGTCTAGAGTCCAAATAGGAATACAATTTTGTGGAATTCATTTTTTTTAAGAAAAGAATATTAAAACAAGAGTCAAGAGTCCATATACAAATTTAGAACTAACTGAAAGTCAAAATTAAAAAAAATAATAGTACATCTTAGAGTTCATATAGAAATACAATTAAGAAAGAACTAAAATTCAAGATAAAAAAAGATTGAGAGAAGAGTCTAGAGCACCTATTGGAATACAATTTAGAAATAATTGAAAGTCATAATTAAAAACTAGGAGTATTGAAAGAAGAGTATAGTGTCCATATAGGAATACAATTTAGAAATAACCGAATTTTGGAATTTAAAAATGAGGAATATGGAAAGAATAGTGTAGAATCGATATAAAAATAATTGTAATTCGGGATTTGAAAATAAAGAATATGGAAAGAAGGGTTTAGAGTTTATATAATAATAAAATTTATAAATAACATAAATTTGAAATTAAAAAAATAAGGAATGTTGGAGAACTTTGAAACTGAAAATAAAATAAGAAATATTGGAAGAGGAGTCTAGACTACTCTAGAGTCCAGATAGGAATATAATTTAGAAATACTCCCTACATCTCATAATATAAGGCGTCCACGCATTTTAAGATTCCACCTTCAAAACATTTTGATCAATATTTAGTACAATATAAATTTAATTTTACTTGCTAGAAATTATATCATTGGATTGATATTTGAATTTACTTTCATATGGTTATAATTTTGTTACTACAAACCTTACAGTATATGAGAAATTATAAGACAAAAAATAGTTTTAAAGACCGTGTCAAGTTTGATCATGCCTTATATTATGGTATAGAGGGAGTAACTAAAATAAGGAATTAAAAAATAATTATAACTATCACATATATACAATACAACATGAATACTACACATTGGTTAGTTTGGTTAAGTTCATATAGAATTTAAAAATTATGTTGCCATTTTTAATACATTTTAATAATAAAATATGAAAATATATATGTTAATAAGTGAAAAAAAATATAACGGTACTAGCCGCGCAATATGCGCGGGCCACCATGCTAGTTTTAGTAATTTTAACAAAATAAATCTTACTCCAACAGCATCTCTACTCGGATGGTTAAGCCAAATGGGTTGCCAAATTTCTTTTTTCATCGGCCAAACTTGGCCATCCACACTAACTTGCCAATCGTGGATCCTACATCTTTGAGACTCTTCTCCCATCTCTCTAAGCGAGAGAAGAGGGTGCGGCGGCAGGGCAGCACCAATTTCCGCTCGTCGCGACCTCCAGTGCCGCCGCAGGGAGCATCGCCTCGGCCTCTAGGGTCGATTTCCACCGCCGCGACCTCTAGTGCCGATTTTTGTCACCGTGAGATCTGCCTATGGCCGTGCCAAGGTTGTGAGGAACAAGAAAAAAAGGGGCCAAGTGGCAGGTCATTAGCTAGCGAGCGTCGCCGCGGCCTCTCACTTGCCGCCAAGGATGGCTGCAATGGCAAAGGGTGCAGTGGTGACGACGAGGCAGGAGCGAGGATGGGGAAGAAGGGGCTGAACCCCTCTTCGGCGTCGGCCGCCTCACCTCCATCGTCTCCATTGATGGCCTCGTCCTCAGCGCCGTCGTCTGGAGGCTTCCGTCGCCGAGGTCTGGGCAGCCATCCGCCACCGCCGTGTTCGCCTCGTTCGGCGCTGTCGTCACCGAGTATCTGCGTAGCTGCCGCACAGCTGCGTCGTCTTTCCTGCCATCCGCGCAAGCGCCAGCGTCGTCTGGCCCGCTACCCGTCGCTGCCGCCATGCTTGTCATCACCACCCGTCGATGCCGCTGTCGCCATCTACCGTTGGGGAGAAAAGAGAGGGAGAAAAGAGGAAGAGGGGGAGAAAAAGAGGAGAAAGAAGAAGACGAGTAACAGAGGCTGACACGTGGGTCTCATTGTCATAGACTTAAAATAGAGAGTGCAGATGGAGAGGCTTTTGGAGTGAGCAACTAGTTTGGTTATCCAAATTAGTTGGAGAGCTGGCTATATGGGTATTTGGATAATCTAATTTGTCAATTCTGTTGGAGATGTTCTTATTAGGTGTAGTAGAACTGTAGAAGTAACTAGGCCTATTTGGGGGAGTTTTTAGCTGATGTAGCTTCTCTTAGAACAAAAAGTTTCCCTAAACAGTTCAGCTTTTTTCCAGATTCTAAGAAGCTATAGTTGTAGAATCTAGAAAATAAACTATAAGTCAGAAGATGGGAAACTCAGCTTTTCCAGATTCTCATAATCTTAAGCTCCCCAAACAGGCCCATATTAGTTCAGAGTTATGTATAGTAGATGGATTATAAGATTGTTTTATCTTTCTTTTCTTCTATCTCTTTCTCTTACCTATATATTTATTATATTTATCTTGAAGTATGTAAAGAGTTAGTTTTCTACGAGAGTAACATTATTTATTTTTCTAGTTCTCTCTTCTCCACATAAACTTATAGCTGGTTATAGCCTACTATTAAACTTGCTCTAAGTTGCATCATGTAAGCTGTAATTGTGCAAGTCCTACTACTCTTCCATCCCAAAATAGATGTCACTTTAGGAATAAAATTTGTCTAAAAAGCTTGTTATTTTCGAATACATTTTATCACATTAATCATCTCCAATTCAGAATTTTATATATTCTACCCCTAAATACCAACCATACATCTGATAGGTTATTATACTCATTTTTCTAAACCTTAATCTTTACTAAATAACCTATAAATGACTACTATGTTAGGACGAAGGTAGTATCCACTTGCACTCTTGATCAACGATCTAGATCGTGAAGAGCTAATTTCATATTCTTCGGTTTCATTCATGATCGAACTTTCTTCCTACCATCGCATTTTGTGTAAGAATCACTTATATGCTTTTTATTGTTTTCTAATCTGTAGTAGTTTGTCTCCTATATATCCCTACCAATAGTAATCGATCAACTTACAGTTGCACTTCTTTAGTACATCTTCTACCTGCATGGTTGTATCTAGGGGTGAAAACGGTACGAAAACTTTCCAGACCTATTTTCGAAAACGGAATTTGTCGGTAGGAATTTTTTTGGAATTTTGCGGAAACGGAAACAAATTCGAAAATATTTTCCCGGAAACGGAATCGAAAATGATAAGGGCAGTTTCCGTCGGAACTCGGAATCGGTCGGAAACTTTATGGAAATTTTCTTGGAATTTCCGAAAATTTTGTGACTGAAATACCATGGATTCCTTTTTTAAGCAATGAATAGTAAATACCATGGTGTTTGTCCGTTATTGTTTTAAAAAATATTTGTTATGCAAATATAAAGTTACGTAAGAATATTTTTTTCATGCATTGGAATAAACATAGATAATTTATTCCATAGATTGTGTTTTGTGATGTACTGCTGAGACTTAACAATTGGAATTATATGATTGTGTTTTATGATGAATTATTGACCGTTGAGACTTGAGAATTGGATTTATCGCTTTGAGGGGTTTTTGTATTCCGATAAATTTTCGTTACCGTATTCGCGCCGGTTCGTGTTCGCTCCGTTTTCGATTTTGATAATATTCGATTCCGTTTTCGTATCCGGGGTTTCTGATTCCGAAAAAAAAATGAAAACGAAAACAATAAATGTGGTTTCCGTCTATTTTCGTACCGTTTTCACCCCTAGTTGTATCACCTTTTTATGCTATATGTTATCGAATAAGTTTTTCTCTCCAATAATTAAGATTTCTCTTAAGCTTGAAAGAGTATGTAATTAGCACTACTTATCCTCTTCAAATCTGCTGGTGCAAAATCAACTAGTATAAAAGGAAAGCACTTGGGTATCCTAGATGTTTTACCTTTCTCTTTCAAACATTTAGATTGTTCATATGGTTTTGACACCAGTTTACTTGTTCAGTTTATAATCATTGTTTAAATATCTAGTTGCTGACACTAAGTTAACTACGTCCATTACCTCATAACTTAACTTTTTTTTCACTTACAAAAATATTTCATGCATCAGAATTTCATTGTCAAGTAATATTATTTATGGCTAATGGTTACTGTTTGAAGTAACCATTAGCTTTTGATATCATATCCACCTTCATGCTATAGAAAACTATGCATACAAGTTGTAACATTTTACCGTATAATATTTTATAAAACACCACATGTCAGTACACCGATGGTGATTCAGCATAACTAATTTAGTGGGAAAATGATAATAAGCTTCAAATAAATGCCATTAAGTAGGCAAAAATTGTACCTATAAGGTACCATAAGGTGCTCCCACATTTTCGCCTACTCAAGCAAAATCTTATCCATGTGTTGGCGCTTATGTTTATAAATTCAAAGTAAAATGCATAATTCTTTTGAATTTTTGTCAGGAAGCTTGTAGGTATGCAATATATACTCCTACTTGCAGTGAGCATGAAGATTTAAACTATTCAAATTTCTATTTTGCTCTAGAATATGTGTACTACGTGTATCCATGTACTCATGGGAGACAAGCCTATTTGGTAGAGAAAATATATAAAGAGAAATTCAAGGTTTAATTGGGTAGAGATTTAGATAAATGTAAACAAAAATGGAGTAAGATCAATGTCATTTGAAAGAAGTAACCAAAGAGAAGGATGTTTGACCTGAACTAGACTTGAACACTTACATGTTTGCGTTGTCTCTTGATGAAGTTGATACTTTTCCTTGGTAGTACTAGCAATAATGGCATCTAAAATAACCCTAACCATGAACCCTAAGAAGAGAAATCATTGAAAGTGAATTCTAAGATATTATGTAGTTAATTGGTCATTGCTACATTATTGATTATATTACATGAATCATCTCTTTAATATGAATGACTACATGCATACAAATCAAATAGAGAGATAATAGTTTTATTTACAATTGTCATCACAGATAAAAAAGAGAAACCATTGAAAGTTGGTCATTACTACGTTCTTGATGATATTTAATGGACTGATGTTTTAATATACATGATCACACTTATAGTTGTTTATTTATTTTTCAAATAAAAGAGAACATGAAACATATTAAATTGTTCAAATAACAACAACAACTAAACAAAAAATTAGCTTTAATCAAATGGTCTTCAACTTCATCGCATTTTCAACATCGAACTTGAAAACCACATTAACACAACAAAAGCAAGAGTGTCAATCAACACATCATATTATAAATTTATTAGCAAATCATCTTTTCTTGAGGTGAAATTCTCACGGAAGAGCATACCATTATATTATATAGTAAGTTAATTATATTAACTGTATGGATCTGGAATAACATGGGTATTGTTTTCTTTACCGTATAATTTAATCCATTTTTTCACATTAGTATGAAAGAAAATCATGTGTGAGATGTTACGGGATGCATACCATGATCTAAGAAACATAAGAATATCATAGGATACCCTTCTCTTAAGATGATTAGATCTATTAGATAGTCAAGAGTTTGTCTTCCATGATGTTTATGGAGTTTGGCTTATCTTAAAGTCTTTTGCCTTTTCTATCTCTCTGTTGGTGGTTATTTTATTCAGAGGTTATCGATGAAGATCTGGGAAGGCTTGTCTGTCAGGTCGTCGATAATCAAATCGATGACACCGATGTTGGGATCTTAGTTTTTTTTTTACTTGCTCGTTGATATTGGTTTGATGTTCTATCAAAAGAATGAAGATGGTGGCCGCTATTTGTTCATCCGTTTTACATGTGCCTGAGTTGATCAACGTTTTGTTTACGCTCGTCTACTCATATGTTTTGTGGTGTATCAAGATATGGAACCTCTCTATCGATATGACTTTAGTGTCTATTTTTGTAACATCAAGATTGTAATTATCTTCTTGTCTATCAAAAGAAAAATGATTGTAGCCTTCCCCCTTATTTTCAGAAAAGTTTTGTACCCTTTTCACCAATTGAAAAGATAAGATTTGGACTAGACTAGATATAAATACAAAGATTTGAAATTCCAATTACCTCTCGAAACCTACAGCAGGGAGCAATTTGCTTTTTGATCTGTCGTGTCATTCACACATCTTGTGAGCTGTCTTTTGAATTGCAAGTCTAAAAGGTTGGTCTAATAAGCTAAAAAAAAAAACTAAAATTTGAAATTTCAAGCTTGATTTTGAAGTTGATTTTTTAGATGTTTTCAACGTAATTTCTTTTTAACGGTAACTTTTAAGTCGTTACAAATAAATATATATAAAAGTTTGACCTATAAATTAATAATTTTCATTCCCTAGTGAAGTAAGTCATTTGGTTTGTTAGGGATACAGGCAACCGATGAGAGCAAAAGAGTATGGCAATTAATTAATTTCTAAATACAATCATTATTCACCTCGTAATATCCTACCCCTTTCGTCTCTGCCACGCCCGTGCATATCCATCCGTTCTGCCTCGCCTACATGATCTGTGAGCCAGCTTAGCCGTAGCTACCGCCAGCTTGTTTTATTCCACTCTCCAAAACGTCATTACTGATTTGCTTTTCTGGGATCCAATTCCAAAAATTGAATAAAAATCACCATTTCCCTCTCTGTATGGCGTGCTGCGCTGCAGAGGCTCCTCCAATTTCCGAGCCCTTTCAAAAATCCCAACTGGAAACCCTTATCAGAATTCAGAAACACCAAAAATTGGTCCCAATTAATTAATTAACCGCCCAGACGTACAGCATTAATTAACCGCGGCGAAAAAAAAACAAACGGTAAAAAAATGCGTGGGTAAAAAAAAAAAAGAAGAAGAACAAGAAGAAGGGAAGTGGCCCGGCCCACGGGGAGTGAAACCTCCTCCGGCCCATTGGGCCGCGTTTCCCCTCTCCATTTTGATCCATATCCACAACGAGGTGGCCGCCCCGAACGCGACGCGGACTACCTAATTTCCCTCCTCCTTCCCTCGTTTTCTGCTAGCTTTCTCTCTCTTCTCCCCCCTTCCCTCCTCTCTCTCTTCGATTCCCCTTTCCCCCCCTCACCCACCCACCTCCACGCCCCCGCCGCCGGCCGGCCGGCCGGAACCCTAGCTCCGGCGAGCCCCTCCCACCCCCCGGCCCCGGGCCTGGCTCCACCCGACGCCGCGCCCCTCGATCGGGTCCCTTGCGGGGGACCGCGGCGTCGAGGAGGGCGATCGCGAGATCGGGGGAGGTTGCTGCTGCTGCTGGGCGGGTGGGCGGAGGGGAGGGGGTGAGGGCTGCCATGGCGGGGAGTGGGAGGCCGCCGGCGGCGCAGAAGAAGATCCTGCAGTCGCTGCGCCCGCCGCTGCCGTTCGCCGCCTCGTCGAGGTCGCCCTTCGCGGCGCCCAACGACTACCACCGCTTCCCCGCTGGTGGCGCGGCGGCGGCGGCGGCGTCTGGTTCGGGTGGCATCGGCGCGGGCGGTGCTGGCGGCGGCGGCGATATCGAGGAGGGGCTGGTCATCCGGACGCCGGTGAGCGCGCGGTTCTCGATTTACTCCGTTTCTGTTTGGAGGGCGGGGGGTTTTGGGGCGCGGGAGCTGACGAAGCTGCTGTGGTGGTTTGAGCTCTCCTGGTGAGGATTATGGGTCAAAATCTGCGCGTTCTATCTGTATGCATGTGTCCGTTTCAGTGTAGCCGTCAGAACCCTGGGTAGATTTGGGTGGAATTTTGGTCAATTTCTAAGCTTCCGCTAAGTCTTCCTAGTCTGGTCAAAGCATAATTGCTCAGTAGCTCCAACTATTCTTATGCTAAGTAAATGTCGACTATGATAGACACGCGACGCAGATCGATATGGAAAGAATTTGATCCATGCAGTTGTCGGAGCCAAGGTTTGAACTCAAGGGGAAGTTTTTATGTCAAATCATAAGTGTTGTGAAGATAGTGATGACTTTGTTGACCACATACGGAATAGATGGAAACTCGTACGGCAGATGCTAATCTAGCTATTGGAACCGTGGGTAGATTCGGGCAAGAATTTTGGTCAATCTGACAATTTCTTGGCTTCCCTCAAAGTCTTCCAAGTTTAGCCAAGCATAAATGCTCAGTAGCTCCAACTATTCTTATGTTAAGTGTCGACTATGTTAGATCCGTGATGTGGATCGATAAAGAAAGAATTCAAGCCGTGCAGTTGTTGGCGTGTCACCCCGTGCAGGGCTTGAACTGAAGGGGAAGTTTTTATGTCAGATCATAAATGTTTCAAAGAGAAATAATCTGTGCAGCGACTTTGTTGACCAGATAGGGAAGCAACGGAAACCTGTATGGCAGATGCTAATAACAGAGGCCACTTAATCTTGCCAGAATCGCGTGTGCTCCCGTGACTGGCATGCTGCAGTTGTGGGCGCTCTATCTCATTTTACAAGCTATTTTGTATACAATATCCTTGTGTTGTGATATACTACTATCCCACAGCTGACATCAGATAGTCAGGATATACTACAGTAGCAACACCACAGGTGTTTCTGTTTACCTTCATAATGTTTCTTAACTGTTGGCATGATTAATATTCCAAGTTGAACTGGATCTATGGAGTACATCGAGACAGTCCCACTAAACCAGTAAGGATGGGAATATGGTGTTTGTTTGTTCTTTATATGTTGTCTAGCATCCATGGATTCTGTTGTTAGGACCCACATTGGTCATATGCTTAAGATGATACATTTTTGTTCTATGTTCTGAATTTACCAATGATCGACATATCCCTCTTGGGATGTTTCTCATTACTTTTAGCGACTATAAAATACAAGCTATTCTCTCTTCACAGCAAAAAAGAAAAGCACCAGAAGAAAGTGATGTTGCTGAGTCTAGCGACTGTATGATTACTAGCCCTGGATTTGCTGTCAGTCCAATGCTCACTCCAGTCTCTGGGAAAGCTGTTAAGACTTCCAAGTCAAAGACTAAGAACAACAAAGCTGGGCCTCAGACACCTACATCAAATGTTGGTATGTGTAATCTTCTTTCTAGTCATTTTCTCTGTGTGTTATGTCGTATGAACAATTAAACATGCATATTTTCTGTTTACAGGTTCACCACTTAATCCCCCAACTCCTGTTGGTACATGCCGTTATGACAGTTCGTTAGGTGATAATGTCACTCTCTGCCTACAATTGTTTTTTTCTTTTTCAAGTCTTAGTCTGAGACATTGCAATCCAACTTCTATCATATATAAGTAAAGTCTGGGAAGCTTATATACATTTTGTATTTTGTTACAATTTATCTTGCCTTTTCGGCTTTTCATATTACTGTGTTGTTACTTGTTACTTATATTTGTCCTTGCAATTCATGTCCAGGGCTTCTCACAAAGAAGTTCATAAATTTGCTGAAGCAGGCTCCGGATGGCATTCTAGATTTGAATAATGCTGCAGAAACACTAGAGGTCACAGACTGTTATAAACTATAATACTATATCATTTCATCTGACATCTCTTTTCTCTCACTTTATACACAATTCACATTTTCCTATTTTCAGGTTCAAAAACGGCGTATATATGATATTACCAATGTACTTGAAGGAATAGGGTTGATTGAAAAGACACTCAAGAACAGAATCCGTTGGAAGTAAGCACTTTTATTCCTTTAACCCTTATCTTCCTTTATTGCCACCTGATCTTATTTCTTTAACCCTTAAATTGTCATTCTAATCTCACACAACATTTCAGGGGCTTGGATGATTCAGGAGTGGAATTAGATAATGGTCTTTCAGCTTTGCAGGTATTTGGTCATGTACAGTTTAAATTGGCGTACTATCTTAAGTGCACCAGAATACCTTTATTCTGACAAGAATGCCTGTGCATATTTCTAAGCACAAATCCATATGCAACCCTTTCTGCAGGCAGAAGTTGAAAATCTTAGTCTGAAGGAGCAAGCATTAGATGAGCGCATAAGGTTAGTAGCTGTCTGTGGTTTCACATGGACCACAATTTTCTATGCTACAGAACCTAACAAGAACATGGCTTAATCGAAGAGCTTGTGTTCTATGCAGTGATATGCGTGAAAAACTAAGAGGTTTAACTGAAGATGAAAACAATCAAAGGTATTTCTTATTTAATTTCATCAATAGTGTGAGGGAGTCATCATCGTGTTTACTAATGTACAGCATCTATTTCATTTTTACATAGATGGCTCTATGTGACAGAAGATGATATCAAGGGATTACCCTGCTTTCAGGTTTTCTATTCTACTTACATGCCATAACAAGGCCACCTTGTTGTAGATTATCATTTGATTAACACATGTATTATAGGTAACATATTTTTTTCATTCTGCAGAATGAAACACTAATTGCAATAAAAGCTCCTCATGGCACTACACTTGAAGTCCCAGATCCTGACGAGGTAGGAAGCAGTTAAAATTAAGGGACTCTGTATGTGACAATAAATGGCATCGTGAAACTGGTTCACAGCTTCTTGTAATATACTCCCTATGCAGGCTGGTGATTATCTCCAGAGAAGATATAGAATCGTATTAAGAAGTACAATGGGCCCAATAGATGTCTACTTAGTTAGGTAATGGTGCATTCCTCTGTTGATGTTAAATACATGAATTGATTTTCACCTGATCAAAACCTTACCATTTTATTTAGTCAATTTGATGAGAAATTTGAGGACTTGGGTGGGGGTGCAACACCATCAGGGCATGCAAATGTACCAAAACATCAACCTACTGAAGTCTTCAATACAACAAATGCTGGGGTTGGGCAATGTAGCAACTCAGTTGCTGTGGACAATAATATTCAGCACAGCCAGACGATTCCTCAGGATCCTAGTGCTTCACATGATTTTGGAGGAATGACAAGGATTATCCCTTCAGATATTGATGTAAGTCAGATCCTCTTTAATTTTGATTTTCCTTCCAGAATAGCATAATTTATAGTTGTAAAGTTATAGCTAGACATTACGGCATGGTACATGCATCTTTGAACTTTTGCTTTACTTCTCTAGTGTTTTTTAGCAATTCAAACATGCAAATCCTTCATGTGTAGAAACTATTATATATTATTGTGTTCATAACCGCTCTGTCATAAGTTGTCCTTTGCCCGAGAACCTCTTATGTCAAAAAAGACCTAAATATATCATATCATACTTATGGTCCTTTTTACACTATTTTGCAGACTGATGCTGATTACTGGCTCATATCAGAAGGGGATGTCAGCATTACTGATATGTGGAAAACAGCACGTATCCTTTATGATCGTTCATTACACTTTTGTTTGGACTATTCATAGTTTTGTTTAGAAGTCATTTGTAACTTATAAGTAGCTACTGTTGCAACTTGAAGTACTTAACATGGAAACAGCAGATGTGCAGTGGGATGAGAGCCTGGATACGGATGTCTTCCTATCTGAAGACGTTAGAACGCCAAGTTCACACAATCAGCAGCCATCTGCAGTGGGCGGGCCACAGATGCAGGTCTCAGACATGCATAAACCCTAGGATCACAGGGGTTACAGAAGTGAAAAGATGACATCTGGAATTCCTGGAGCGGTGTTTGTAGTGAAAAGTGAAAGCATGACAGCAAATGCTCATTGCCAAATTGTAAAGAGCCGGGTGGTCTTCATCAGAATATCTGCATCTTCTCGAGACACCAAGTCCGTGCGAGAGATCAGGATGACACCATTCCGGATTCACATCTGCTGTGGAGGCTGGTGGCGTCAACTAACTTACCAGCCTGCTGTTTCAGCACCCTGCTTCAGTCGAACGGGAGTAAATCTTGCTGCTGCTTTCGCTGTGAAGCCTGCTGCGGTGCTCATTAAGGCACTGATATATTTTTTGCATTCAAAACTAACTAGTCATCAGCAAGGAAACGGTGGGCTTTGCTGTGCTCTGTCGAGTATTCTTTGAAAATTCTTTGTACATTGGGAGGTATAAGGGCATGCAGGGCTCGAGTTATTGGTTTGACGGGAGCAATGAGCTGAGTTAATGATGTAACCGAGCCGTCTTTGTAAATTGTTCCATGCTCTTCCTCAAATACAATGGATAGACTTTCATTTTGAGATATGATGCTTCAGTAGTCATTTGCTAGTCACCATGGAGTGATGTGATATCTTTGCTACTGGTATGAACCTCAAAATGATACTCGCCGTTAATTTTTATTCTGATGTGTTTATGGAACAATATAAAGTTATAATAACAGTATACTGGGTATATTAATAGTTGAAATTGTTAGAAGTTTCGAATAAAAGGTTACCCCAAGTTTTGAATACTAACTCTGTCCCAATGTATAAGGTTGGATACGGATATTAAAAAAAATAGGTAGCTTGGGAGAAGGGTTGAGAAGAGAAAGTATATGAACAATTTGAATGGTGGAATGCTGTGATTGGGTCAAAAAAGTTATGATATTCTAAAATAATTCTTAAATGCTAGAAATTGTTATATTTTGGGACGGTGAGAGTAGTTCTGAAATTTTTTCTACCCTCGAGAAACATAAAAGTTATATATGTTTCAAGATCTCTGCATGTAGTGATTCTTTATAAAATAAAACCTATCACATATAATAATTTCATGTTTTTTTTTAATATGTAAGTCATCTTTCTTATGCCACACATAAATATTTTTTCACAAAACAAGAACATTTAATGCTGAAACTTATACACAACGTCCTGTGTTAACAAAGCTGCACAAATATTTTCATATTTTTTTTACAACTTTGAGTGGGTAAATCAATTGTCAATGTTTGTATGTCTGTTAGGATATTATGGGTATTTTCAAACAAGCATCCATACCCCAATGACACATTATTATAGTAGAAACAATTAATAATCTCAGGGGACAAAACATCAATTTAGCTTTTTATAAGATTGCACCCAATGATTTTCAGGGGTTAAGATATGACGATAATTTTGTGTTTATGACTATAGATATATGATAAGCCCATTTTTACTGTTATTAAATTTTCAAAAGGCTCAGCATTGATCTGAACTCTGATGTACATATTTTCTATATTTGGCTTTGTTCAAAAGATTGCTACCTTCCAGAAGGCATCTTGTTACTAGGTAGTGGTTCACCTAAGCATGTTGCCCATGGTGCTAAGCATGTTAGCAGCATAATTGCAATTCAGTACGCCCAACTGATTCCATGATAAGTGATGACAATCCATTTCTGAAATATTGATATCAGTTACTATTTTTCAGTGTTGTGGAAGACGGAAAACGGTTGTCAGACGGAAATGGTACCGTTCACCGGTTGATTGGAATACGCACGATTAGTCGGAATTATACGGAAATTTAGCATTCGCGAATATATGTGCAAATTTTATAATATTATATACTTAGTTCAAGATTTAGATGTGTACAACTATATAAATCTAATATGTTCATGTTGTTTTTTAATTAAACAGGTAAGTAAAACATTAACTCTTCTAATACCGGATTTATATATCACATGGTGGTAGAATTGCTGCGTTAAATAAGTAAAATACAAAAATATGTGTTACAAAACAAAAACAATTCTAAATTAAGTAAAAAATAAACTACTCTAAATCATCACCAAATACAGCGTACGATTATTCGGGTGATTAAACGGAAAAACGACCAACTAATCGCTAAAAACAGAGTTTTGACTTCATGAACGATAAATGTACACCGTGTTACGTTAACGGGACGGTTTTACTACCGTTAACGTATATACGGCTGATTAATTGGTCGGTACGACCGATTTCCACCACACTGCTATTTCCATCCCACAATAGCTTCCTGAACTTTGGTTGCCTGAACTTCATTGAGGAAAATGAACATTCGTATTCCTACACCTTTCTTGAATGCTTGCTCTGTCACCTATACTTATTTCTTCATGTATCATTATCAACGAGGTGTTGATTGTTGGATTTGGGCGTAAGGGCTATGCTGTGGGAGATATTCGTGGTGTCTGATTCGAGGTTGTCAAGTTCTATTTAGGGAGGAGGAGAAGTGATGTGACCATCAAGTATATGCATACAACCAAGCATGAGAAATATAAAACATTGCCAAAGAATACGTCGGATGAATGGAGAATCTACGAGATATTCAAGTCCAATAAGTTTTGAAATCCAGTTCGGCCTTCAGAGACAATATTGACTTCAAACAGACCTAGCGCCTTCGTGACAACTCCGATTTGGGTGATCTTGGACTTGATGGAAAGTTTATCTCACTAACTTTCAAACGCATCCGGTCTCATATCCAAATTCATTCCGAGTCAATGGGAATCGTCAAAACAAGCTAGTAATGTTGCTTAAACTGAACTTGGGCCTTGGGCCTTGTAATAGACTAGGTCCATCTTAGAAGTGTCTCCCTCCACCTACACGAATTAGAACTTAACCCTAGATCTATTTTTCTCTGTAAATGTTACACCCTCTAGAACAATTGGGTTTTGTTTAGTTAAATTTTGCCAAGTGCCATTCACCTTGTCTCTAGTCCTCACTTGATTAGTCGGCGAATAAACAGTATATTTAAGTGCATTCTTTGTATTGTTAATTTATGATTCTGTTGGCAAAAACCACAGCTTGTTAGATTTTTTTTTCTTATGTTAAGGCGAAGTACTATGCTGAGTTTTGTTCATCGAGCAATTTATTTGGCTTTTGCTAGTTCTACTTTTTTCCCCTCTTTTGCTTTAACCTCTCCTCGTTATAACAAACTATGTTGAGCCCAACATGAAAAAAATATACCATATTGATATCACATTCATATATTTTGCTAATATATCTTGATTGGCACATACATAATGTGGGGTTAATTGCTAGGCTAAATCTACAACTTCCTTTTGCAAGAAAAAACCCCAATATTTGAATTATATTAGGTCTTGTGTGTGTGCTGGGGGGGGGGGGGTTGTGAATTTAACAATAATTTTACATTGCAATAAGTTTATAGCAATAAAGTTATAAGAATATGTAATTATTTTTTAAGCCAAATCTATTATAGTAATGAATATCTTTGCTTGGATATTTGTGTTTTGAGATATTTCAACATTTATATTTCCAACATATATAGCTTTTTACACTTATTTCAAGTTGCGTCGTAGTGTTAGCACGCGCATATTATTAATCTCAAATAATTCCTAAATGCTAGAAATTGTTATATTTTGGGACTGAGAGAGTAGTTCTGAAATGTTTTATGCCCTCGAGAAACATAAAAGTTCTATATGTTTTAAGATCTCTGCATGTAGTGATTTTTTATAAAATAAAACCTATCAATTTTATACTAACATATAATAATTTCGTGTTGTTTTTTTATATGTAAGTCATCTTTCCTATGCCACACATAAATATTTTTTCACAAAACAAGAACATTTAATGTTGAAACTTATACACAACGTCCTGTGTTAACAAAGCTGCACAAATATTTTCAAAAAAAAATTTTAGAACTTTGAGCGGGTAAATCTATTAGGATATTATATAGCTTTCATATTGTCAATGCGTGTACGTCTATTAGGATATTATGGGTATTTTCAAACAAGCATCCGTACCCAAATGACACATTATTATAGTAGAAATAATTAATAATCTCAGTGACATGTTATATAATGGAACAGTCTATACAGACCACTGAACTAGGATGAACTTTCCAAACTTATGGGAAAAAAAAAGGACAGGAAAATGATGTTGAATAATTCTCTCTCCCAGCAGACATTGTCCAATCGGGAGGAAAAGCACAAAGACATTGCAGGAATTCACAAGAACGAAGAAACCATTCAGATCCAGCAGAAACTAGGAAGCATTGCCCTGTCTATTCAAGAAACTAGAGAATTTCCAATTCGTTCTTACAGTAGTTTCTTTGTAACCTGGTCATCCACGAAAAGAACACAAAGCAATTAAAAGTAACATGCATTAAGGACATCAGGTCGTCTCATTCAGCTCTTACAGCGTCATGGAGGAAAGCCGATGCAAGCAAGCAAGCAGCCCTCCTTACCATATGAGTCGCGAGTTCTCACAGACACAACGCCCACTGGCTAAAACCGGCATAAGTTCAAGCTAAAGGAGATACTACCATGTTGCAATTCACTAATATAATATGGATAACCCAAAAGTGGCAACCTAGCTACTTGTCAGGCTGCTCCTATATGCTAATAATCACCTTTCTTCCTCTTTGGTATGGGGGCGATCTCGAACACATCGTCATCGCTATCCGAGTCGCTTTGAAGCTCCTCGACTGGCCTCTTGCCTCGCGGAACCACTACCTCCTCCTTCAATACTTGAAAGTTCAGCCCCTTCTTGTCATCAGTAGCGTCAATGGAAATAGTTGACCCCTGTCCAGCATCTCCTGTAATAAGCATCTCAGAGAGCTTTGTCATCACATTCTTCTGCACCCACCTCCTTACTGGTCTTGCCCCATACATCTGAAAGAGATGGAAGCATGGTCAACTATATTAGTACGAACTGAAAGATCTCATGGTCATTACAAAATGGTAGAGCGAACTTGTGATGATGTTGTAAAGAATCTGCACTTACTGGGTTGTATGATTCAGACAAGATGACGTCCAAGGCATCATCACTTGCAAGTAGAGATACGCCCTTGTGAGCCACACTGGTAACGACACTCTTCATCTGAATTTTGACGACCTCCTTAAGATTGTCGTGCGAAAGCGGCTCAAATATCACAATCTCACTCAGCCTGTTGAGAAGTTCAGGCCTGAAATACTTCTGAACCTGCATGTGCAAAGTATATATAACAATCAGAAAGAAGCTACTGCAGCCAGTCCAGGATTTCAAAATCAGGATAGATCGGGACTAGAACAAACTTGTTTCATAACAAGGTCCCGTGCAGCTTCCATTGTTCTTTCACCAGTCACTCCTTCAGTTAGGTGCTCAGCTCCCAGATTTGAGGTCATAATGATGATGGTGTTCTTGAAATCTACTGTCCTTCCTTTGCCATCAGTCAACATGCCATCATCGAGGAGCTGAAGGAACACGTTGAACACCGAGGGATCTGCCTTCTCCACCTCATCAAAAAGGATGACACTGTAAGGACGCGTCCTAACTTTTTCTGTCAATTGTCCGCCATCTTGATGGCCATGATAGCTTTAAGATGTCCAAGAAAGCACTAAAACAAGTCAATAATGAAAAATATGGAATGTGTAAAGTTTCACTAAGGGAGCAGGGGTATGCAAAACCTTGGAGGTGCTCCAATGAGACGCAACACAGATCCACTCCCAACAAATTCAGACATGTCAAAGCGGATCAACATCTTCTCGCTGTCAAATAGCTGCTCAGCAAGGGCTTTTGCAAGCTCCGTCTTTCCAACACCGGTTGAGCCCAGAAAGAGGAAAGAGCCTATAGGTTGGCCAGGTTGTTCAAGGCCTGCCCTAGAACGTAAAACTGCCTGTGCAACCAGTTTGACAGCTTCATCCTGGCCAACAACTCGCTCGTGCAATCTGTCTGCCAGGTGGATTAACTTCTCCTTCTCCTCTTGATCAAGTGTAGTGACCGGGATGCCAGTCCATCGGCTCACAACCTTCATATAACATTTGAACATAATTAGGATATTAGAATGAATGATCGAAACAGAATTATTATACAAATACAAGTAGCATGCTTACTTGAGCAACATGATCTGGGCCAACAATTGCTTCGTTCACTCCATTCACTGACGTATTTCCATTGTTATTTTGCATTCCTGTGGTGTTCACCCCTTTTTGACTATCAATCTTCAGCCTTACGGTGGAGCAAGCCTCATCAATCAGATCAATCGCCTTGTCAGGAAATTGACGACCTACAGGAAGAAATACCATCTGTCAAATTACCTAATACTCAGCTGTCATGCGCATGAAAATCGCTAGAAACACTGTGCCATATTTGCCCATGAAGCATTCTCGGGAATTCTATCAATCTTTAAATTCATGTGATCCATTATATCAGGAGATCTTACGTAAACTTATGTAAGAAACCACACAGAACAGCAGGGAATGAATGATTATGCTGTCAATTGCAGTCGCCTTTACAAAAGTAGTTGAGTTGATCAAGTCAACAAGTGAAGGTACATACAGTTAAGGAACAGAACACAACCATGATATCCAATTAACGTTTTATTCGATTTTCTTCTCTTTCTTTTTATTGCAATTCCTAAATGTAGGTGACTGCAGCCACTAATAATCAACCCTCATGTTGGATTGGTAATGGAAAATTTTAATTAAAAGGGTCTTTAACGATTGAGTGATATAGACCCACAAATTACCAGTTGCTCTTTGGTGGATAATCTCAGAAGCCAAATATACATGTAATGAACTTAGAACTCAACAGTACAAGGCATAAAATGACTAAATGCATTTTCACTAACAGCGCCATGATATGTGAGCTAATAATAGTATAGAGTAATCTATGATGTTTTAGAAAAAAAAAAATCAGGGTCAACGAGATGACTTCTTTTTTTCTGAAAGTTCATGGCCTGATTCATCTCACATACATGAATTAAAAATAAGAATTCTTAGCTCCAATTAAAAAAATGGATTGTACAAATTTAAGAATGTCTAACATGAAGAGTCACCTAAGTCCTCTCCCAGATGTTAAAATTTGACCCAACTCCAAATTTTCATCTGGCCAAATACTGGCATCCCGACTGTGAGATTCCTAGTGTTGTCCATGCTACCGAATTCATAAAAAGGTGAAGTTCTATACCACTAGCTTCTAACAAAATTGTATACTGACAATGGGAATTTGATATTAAAATCCCTACAAAACTTAAACAACAGGGAATGTAATCCCGGAACAAAACTCGTAATCCCAAAAGACATGTACAACAACCCTAGAATATGTGCAATCCCCCTTAACCGGTAGTATCATGAAAGCACAAGGAATAAACTAATTAAACGGTTTTGCTAAAAATATGGTCTCACATTTTTTTTACTTGATTGCTACCTCGCTCTCTTGTATATATAAGCATGTTTTCTCCTATCTCCTCTTCCAAGTATAGTTAAGCAATTTGCACACTATGCAAACATTACATTGCAAGAGACATTTACAGTGTTAAGTGTAAATATGTGTAACTTACAGTATAATGAAAAATCTGACTGTTTTTCGGTCCCTTAAACAAAATGAAAAATTTTCTCACCGGTAATGTAGCGGTCCGCAAGCTGTGCAGCAGCGACAATGGCAGCATCCTGAATCTTCAAGCCATGGTGCTCTTCGTACCTCTGCTTCAGCCCCTGCAGAATAGCAATGGTCGCCTGCGTGGTCGGCTCCTCGACGATCACCTTCTGGAACCGGCGCTCGAACGCGGCGTCCCTCTCGATGTGCTTGCGGTACTCGTCGAAGGTGGTGGCGCCGACGCAGCGGATGCGGCCACGGGCCAGCGCCGGCTTGAGCAGGTTGGCGCCGTCCATGCTGCCGCCCTTGCACGCGCCGGCGCCGAGCAGCATGTGCATCTCGTCGATGAAGAGGATCACCTTGCCCGCCGCGCCCTCCGCCTCCTGGATCACCTTCTTGACGCGCTCCTCGAACATGCCGCGGTACTGGGTGCCCGCCACCAGGGAGCCGACGTCGAGCTCCACGACGCGCGCGCCGGCGAGCGCGGCGGGGACGTCCCCGGCCGCGACGCGGCGCGCAAGGCCCTCGGCGATGGCCGTCTTGCCGACCCCCGGCGCGCCGACGAGCACGGCGCTGTTCTTGGTCCGGCGGCACAGGATGCACACCACGCGGTCGACCTCGTCGTCGCGGCCTATCACCGGGTCGGCGGCGGCGGCGGACCCCGTCATGTCCCGCCCGTACGTGCGCAGTGCGGTCTCCTTCGGAGGAGCGACCGGCTTGGCCTTGGTCACGTAGGCGGCGGCTGCGGCGGCGGCGGCAGCGGGGACGCCACCACTCGGCTTCGGCTTCGGCTTCGTACTCCGCCTTCCGATGACGTCTTCGCCGGCGAGAAGCACCCGGCCGGTGGATCCCACTACGGCCGACGACGAGGTGTCCCCCTTGATGACGGCGTTGGTGGAAGACGCCGGGCCCCACACCGACCACTGCGAGGAGGAGAGGTGGCCAGCGCGGAGGTGCTTGCCGCCGCTGCGCGGCCGCGACGACGCCCGGCCGTGCGAGCGGTGCACCAGCGGGGCGGCGGCGGCGGAGGAGGGCCCGCTGCCGACCTCGTCGCCGTAGAGGAGGGCCTTGCGTCGCCACGCGTCGCCGCCGCCATCGCCGTCGTCGTCGTCGTCGCATTCGTACTTCACCTTCACCATACCGCTGGACCACTTCGCGTGGACGGGAGGGCGATCGGCGGCGTCGGCGTCGAGGATGCCGTAGCGGTACTTCTTGCGGTGGATCGACATGGCCGGCGCGCGCGGGGGGTCGCCGCCGGAGAGGGAGGTGGAGGAAGGGGAAGTGGAAGGCGTTTTTATTACTGCGGTTTTACCGCACTAGTAGGCGTTTTTACCGCGTCCTATGACGGTGGACGTGGGATTTTTACCGTGAGCTGCAGTTAAATTTCCTTTTGGGGTCCGCGCCGACCATGCCGATGCAACCGACATTCATCCGTTAAGAAACCACGAATTTCGAGAGATTTGGTTCTAATCCAAACGATCAAATTCTAATGAGTAAAGCACTTTGGGCCAATGGATTGTATATCTCTATCTCTATCTTTTATCTCTACTATTATAAAAATTAAAGATGTTTTTATCGGTATTTTGATACGTCATCAGTGAATGAGTCAGTTTTTAAGCTCATTTACTTTTGTAAATACATATCCGTCTTTGAATTTTTTTAAGTCGTTCACTGTTGGTAATACAGAAGGAATCATATAAGAAATTTGTTTTAAAAAACTCGCATGTTAACTTGAGCAATTGGACTCCTAATTACAGCTCATGATTGAAGATGTTTTTGCCGGTATTTTGGTACGTCATCCGTGTATAAGTCAGTTTTTAAGTTTGTTATCCTTACTATTATAAAAATTGAAAATGTTTTTGCTGGTATTTTGGTACGTCAACCGTGTATGAGTCAGTTTTTAAATTCGTTTGCTTCTGGAAATACATATCCGTATTTAAGTCAGTTTTTAAGATCGTTCACTTTTGGTAATACAGAAGGAATCATATAAGAAATCTGTTTTAAAAAACTCGCATGCTAACTTGAGCAATCGGACTCGTAACTACAGCTCATTATTTTCTAAAAATATATTATCCAAGCGAACTCCCACAGTGAATTTCATCTTAACTAAACCATATAACAACAATAATAATAAGATTAAAATAGACTTCACCCGTTGTAACGCACGGGCATTTTTTTTTCTAATTCCTACTAAAATTTCACTTTAAATTATCACATATCAATAGGTGGGAAAATTTTTTTAGCTAATTAGCTACCCGGTCCAAAGTGTTCATAATGACATGGGACTATGGGAGCCACTCGGTTTAAAACATAAGATGTGTTTAGTTACTTTCAAACTTCCAAAATTTCCATCACATCAAATGTTTCGACACATGTATGGAGTATTAAATGTGGATGAAAAAAACCAATTGCACAGTTTACATGTAAATTGCGAGACGAATCTTTTGAGCCTAATTACACCCTGATTTGACAATGTGGTGCTACAGTAAACATTTACTAATGATAGATTAATTAGGCTTAATAGATTCGTCTCGCAGTTTACAGGCGGAATCTGTAATTTGTTTTGTTATCAGTTACGTTTAATACTTCAAATGTGTGTCCTTATACTTTAATTTTTTTTGGAAAGGAACTTCAAACTTCCGAAAATTCTGTCACATCAAATATTTGGACGCATGTATGGAGCATTAAATGTGGACGAAAAAACCCAATTGCACAGTTTGCATGTAAATTGCGAGACGAATCTTTTGAGCCTAATTACGCAATGATTGACAATGTGATGCTGCAGTAAACATTTGCTAATGACGGATTAATTAGGCTTAATAAATTCATCTCGCAGTTTATAGTCGGAACCTATAAATTGTTTTGTTATTATTCTACGTTTAATACTTCAAATGTGTGTTCGTATACTTTGAATAAAATTGTATTTTTTTTGTGTGTCCTGCCGAGGAACCTCGTTTGCATTTTTTTAAGTTGGGGGAAACGCTGTATATGAATCAGACTAAGCAACAACTTGAGGGACCCAAAGTGAACTTACTGCCCAATTAAAAGCTGATCGCCTGGGTTCATGGGCCATGGCCCGCGGGTAGTCTGTCCCTTTATATTTCCCTGCTCGGCTGCCAGCGTCAATCAAAAGCTGCCCCAATTTTGCCGCACGAGGTCGTCGGCGGAAGCCCTAAGATCCAACGACACCGTCTCCGCGGAAGGTGGGGGGATCGATCGATCGATCGCGGCGGCGCGCGCCTTTCTTCTCCAAAACCATAGGTATATCGCTCCTCCCATCCCTCCCTCCCGAATCCCTCTTCCCTCGTGCGCGAAGCGAAATAATCATGTGTGTCCCAATTCTCCATATGCACTGCTCCCTCTGTCCCAAAATAAACACAGTCATGAGTTTTTATATCCAATTTTGATCATCTGTTTTATTTCTTTTTTTTATGATTAATATTTTTATTTTTATTAGATTATAAAATATGAATAGTACTTTATATGTGACTATGGGCCTGTTTGGCACAGCTCCAGTTCCAGCTCCACCCCTCTTGGAGCTGGAGCTCAGCCAAACAATTTCAGCTCCACTAAAACTGGGAGTGGAGTTGGGTGGAGCTCTCTCACAAAATATATTAGAGTTGTGGAGCTGGGTTTTGGCAGCTCCACAACTCCACTCTAGACTCAACTCCTGGAGTTATATTTAGGAGTTGGAGCTGTACCAAACAGGTCCTATGTTAAGTCTTTTTTAAAAAAAATTAAATAAGACGAACGATTAAAGTTGGACACGAAAACTCATGGCAACAATCATTACCTCGCAAGCAACAATCATTAGCGGGGCTAGTGGCTCCCTTCTTTTCAGGAATTGTGGGTAATGGGACTATCCACTAGGGTTTAGAATGGTGGATTCATGGCACACCAACTTATTCCAACTCCACGAACCAAAGTGATTTGGACTAAATTTCAACAGAATAAAAATTGTGTTTTTCCAAAAAAAAAAAGAGAGAGAGAGAGGACTTCATCTCTTAGCGCGAAGATTTTTTTTATATAATATAAAATTGTTGTACGAGTTAGTGTGGATCTAGCAAGCAAGTCGTTGTCTTTATGGCATTGGCACTGGAGTAGTGCATAGCATTAATAAGTATGGCCGTACTTCCTTAGTTGCATCCTAGATTTCACATGAATAGCTAAATGCAACTTAGATCCTATTACTGCTTCATCTGCACGGTTATGAGATTCAGAGATTGCTTGTCATATACAATATCTATGCTCTTGAGTCTTGAGCCTTCAGTGTATTGATTCTCCACTTCCTTTTTTTTTCCTTGTTATCATGTGGGTAGAATGACCAAGCTTTTCGATAATTGCTAGGTCACTTTAATCGGGTTTCTAAAGCAATGTATCCTGATAAAAAAAAAGGCAAAGGTGGAATCAACATCAGATGTGAGTCCAGACAAATTGAGCCACCTACCTCCGGAGATAAAGGTCACCATCCTCTCTAAGTTGAGTGTCTTAGATGCTACTCCGTTGTAGAAAAAAAATTAACCTTATCATAAAAACATATTCAATTTTAGATTTATTAATTGAACTATTTTGATCTTGTAAATATTACTATATTTATCTATAAAACTTGGTTATTAAACTTAGAGTAGTTTGACTTTGACCGAAGTAAAAACAACTTATAGCCTAAAACGGAGGGAGTATTAGAGCCAGCATTTTGAAATATAGGATGTGCTTCTATGCTTCTAAAAAAGTGCATGAAAATCAAAGCACATTAGTGGCTGAGATTAAAAGCGGGATTAACACTTAATTATCATTAGCGAGGGGTATTTTCATCCACAGATTTTGGAGCCCATGTCCAGCCCAGTCCATCTGAAGCTATCGGGCCCACCCCTAACAGTCCACCATGACACCAATTCCTTCCTCCGCCAGCGAGGGCTGCATCATGACCGCCTCCAGCGGCACACCGCAGATGTGCTCGCTCGTCAAGGAATATCAGCGGGGCCTATGAAATAATGGCATAAAAATATGTTTAACAAATAATCCAGGGAGAGGCTCTCATACCAAATGGCTTGATGATACAATTATTAATGTTGACTTATAATGTTGCTTATTATCCATGATAACCTTTGTGACGTGCTTACTCATATAAGTTGGTTTATTGCATATTGTATACTATTATAGTCGCAACGCCATTGACCACGGGAAAAAACATTCAATGTTTTTTTATCCAACCGTCCTTAATTGGATGGCGAACAATGTACAACCTTCTCGTAAAGATGGCCGGGGAAGTCAAACAAGCGTTAATCGAGCTCTTGATATTGCACAGAGTGATTTGGTAAAAGAAAACCTACAATTTGGTATTCAATTTGAGCATTATATATTTTAACAATAATTTTTTAGGTCCTTTTCCCATTTGTTCAAAACAAGCACAGGAGTATATTGGTACTAGATAACCTTGAATGACAGTTTTATGTGTTGGACTCTTTAGTGAACATGGCAAGCTACTAAACATTTCTACATTCAATGGTAAGCATTTAAATATCTTTTTATAAATTTGAAAGATATCAGTCCAATATTGGTAACTGTTGCTTTGATTTGTGTAGATTAAAGTAATAAAAAACGATTTGGATGTGGCTACTAGTCAAGGTATTCAGATGCCAAAAATTCATGACTGGAAACCCAAGCAATTCCACAAAGTTCCAATACAAAGTGATTTGTGAGTCATCTAATAGTATAATATACATGCTCTATAACAGAACAATTATTCATTTTTCATTTTATTTTGATAGATGCTCATGCGGCCTATATGTACTAAAGTACATCGAGCTGTTTGATGGGTCAGGACGTACAAAAAAAATTCACTCAAAAAAAAATTCGCTTAGGTTTAACATTTACATTATTCACTATTTAACATTTACATTATTCGCTAAGAACTTTAAATATATGCCTACATTTACATTTAAATTATTCACTCATAAATGTAATTTATTACTCATAAAGTAGGCACATATTTAAAGTTCTTAGTGTATAATTAAATGTTAAACCTGAGTGAGTTTTTTTTGTAAGTCCTAACCCATCAAACAGCTCGATGTACTTTAGTACATATAGGCCGCATGAGCATCTATCAAAATAAAATGAATAATTGGTCCATTATAGAGCATGTATATTATACTATTAGAGGACTCACAAATCACTTTGTTTTGGAACTTTGTGGAATTGCTTGGGTTTCCAGTCACGAATTTTTGGCATCCGAATACCTTGACTAGTAGCCACATCCAAATCGTTTTTTTATATTACTTTAATCTACACAAATCAAAGAAACAGTTACCAATATTGGACTGATATCTTTCAAATTTACAAAAGGTATTGAAATGATTACCACTGAATGTATAAATGTTTTGTAGCTTGCCATGTTCACTAAAGAGTCCAACATATAAAACTGTCATTCAAGGTTATCTAGTACCAATAGACTCCCGTGCTTGTTTTGAACAAATGGGAAAATGACCTAAAAAATTATTGTTAAAATATATAATGCTCAAATCGAATACCAAATTGTAGGTTTTCTTTTACCAAATCACTTTGTGCAATATCGAGAGCCCGATTAACGTTTGTTTGACTCCCCCGGCCATCTTTATGAGAATGTTGTACATTGTCCGCTATCCAATTAAGGACGGTTGAATAAAAAAACACGAATGTTTTTCCTGTGCTCAATGGCGTTGCGTCGTTCCTTTATTATTTAACTGTAAGAGTGTACAATCTGCAATAAATCAAGTTATCATGGGTAAGCACGTCAAAAATGTTATCATGGATAAGCAACATTATAAGTCAACATGAATAATTGACCCTATCATCAAGCCATTTGCTATGAGAGCCTCTCTCCTGCCCTTATATATCTAGATGCGACAAACCAGACCATGACGCAAAAACCCATGAATTATCATTTATTTGACCTATAAGTGAACTCGCGGGTCAGCCCGCTTGCATCCCTAACTGCGAGGTTGCTCTTGTTGGACTGCTACTGAGCTGGTCACCTTTAGAGGAACTGAAGATATTCAAGGTCAAGGATGATGAGAACGGGGACGATGGTGATTGCATGTGCATGTGCAGGCTCTTACCAAGTTACTGGCTCTACCGAGGGTATCTGACAAAGCCAAGATCACTGTCATCTGATTCATATACCTCCTGGTCATTCTGCTGCGTTTTTGCTTCATGTTGAAGTTGCTCGTGGCATAACTACTGTTATTAGTCTCTGTCCTGGGATGGATGTTGGGGGCTATACTTGTGTTAAATCTAATCCTGGGATCTTGGGGGGTTATACTTACGTTAAATCTAAATTTTGGTGGTCTTTTAGTCCACTCTGTTTTTTCTTTAAACTGGACATGCCTGGTTTAGAATGAATGTTGTTGGTTGGAGAATCATCATGTTTCGTCTGTTCGTTCAACAAATTGTAAGTTGGTCAGCCAGCTCCAATTACTTGAAATGTTTTCGACTTAAAAACTCAAGATGGAAAACATAGTACTAGATGGGTTCATTGAAATCTGTTTGGGACTTGGTAAAATTCAAAAGGTTTTCAGGGATTTTGCAACAATGAACTGACCGAGTCACTAGCATTGCGAAATGTGAATTTTTAGGCATAATGTCCTAAATTACAGCCCTTATAATAATCTAGATAACAAAAATATGTAAAAGTTTAAATTTTAAAACCTTTTACATCATGTTGTATTTTTTTAGTGTTTTCTTGCAAGTCGGTATATTAAATCTAGGCAAGTATATAAAAATGACCAAATAAGCCAACATTTAAAAGATTAATTTAAAAGTAAACAGTGTGATGGAAGAAAAGGCGCACAAAATAATATAAAAATTATGGGCCCCACTATCTTTTTTTTATCTTTTTGTTTGCATGATATATGGGCCCCGCATATTTTATTTTCTTTTTTAAGTTTTCAACTTTGCACCTTTTATTTTGTTTTCAGGATTAAAGTACAACAAAATCGCCATGCCAATAACACGTGATACGAAAACCAGGGTGGTGGGGACGATACCACCGGGGAACATCGTTTGTACTGGTTTTGTAAGTTGGGGAAGCTTTTGTATACGAATTTCAGACTTGGCAACAACTTGAGGGACCTAAAGTGAACTTAACACCCAATTAAAAGCTGAAGTGAAGGGCAACCAGGCTGCTCGACTGGGTTCATGGGCCATGGTCCGCGGGTAGTCTGTCCCTTTTTATATCCCTGCTTGGCTGCCAGCGTCAATCAAGAGCTCCCCCAATTTTGCCGCACGAGGTCGTCGGCGGAAGCCCTAAAAGATCCAACGACGGCGTCTCCGCGGAAGGTGGGGGATCGATCGATTGCGGCGGCGCGCGCCTTTCTTCTCCAAAGCCCTAGGTATATCGCTCCTCCCCTCCCTCCCTCTCGAATCCCTCTTTTCTCGTGTGAAGCGAAATAATCATGTGTGTGTCCCAATCCATATGCACTACTCCCTCCGTCCCAAAATAAACGCAGCCATGAGTTTTCGTATCCAATTTAGATCATCCGTCTTATTTGAATTTTTTTAGATTAATATTTTTGTTGTTATTAGGTTATAAAATATGAATAGTAATTTATACGTGACTTATGCTTTTAATTTTTTTTAAAAAAATTAAATAAGACAAATAATTAAAGTTGGGCACGAAAACTTATGGCAACAATGCAACAATCAGTATCTCGTAGGCAACAATAAGTAGCGTGGCTAGCGGCTCCCTTCTTTTCAGGAATTTTGGGTAATGGGACTATCCACTAATTTAAGCAGTGTTTACGATGGTGGATTCATGGCACACCAACTTATTCCAACTTTGAGAACCAAAGTGATTTCGACTAAATTTCAACAGTATAAAAATTGTGTTTTTCCCACAAAAAAAAAGAGAGGACTTCATCTCTTAGCGCGAAGATATTTTTTATATAATATAAAATTGTAGTACAAGTTAGTGTGGATCTAGTAAGTAAGTCGTTGTCTTTAGGGCATTGGCACTGGAGTAGTGCATAGTATTAATAAATATGGCCGTACTTCCTTAGTTGCATTGCATCCTAGATTTCACATGAATAGCTATCTGAATGCAACTTAGAACCTATTACTGTTTCATCTGCATGGTTATCAGATTCAGAGATTGCTTGTCATATTCAATATCTATGCTCTTGAGTCTTGAGCCTTCAGTGTATTGATTCTCCACTCCCTTTTTTTTTCTTGTTGTCATGTGGGTAGAATGACCAAGCTTTTCGATGATTGCTAGGTCACTTTAATCCGGTTTCTAAAGCGATGTATCTTGATAAAAAAGGCAAAGGTGGAATCAACATCAGATGTGAGTCCAGACAAATTGAGCCACCTACTCCGGAGATAAAGGTCACCATCCTCGCTAAGTTGAGTGTCTTAGATGCTACTCCCTCCATTTCAGGTTATAAGTCATTTTGACTTTGGTCAAAGTCAAATTGCTTTGAGTTTGATTAAGTTTGTAGAATTTTTTTTAACCTTATTATAAAAATATATTCAATTATAGATTTATTAATTGAACTATTTTGATGTTGTAAATATTACTATATTTATCTATAAAACTTGGTCAAACTTAGATTAGTTTGACTTTGACCGAAGTCAAAAGTAGTTTGACTCTGACCGAAGTCAAAACAACTTATAGCCTGAAACGGAGTTAGTATTAGAGCCAGCATCTTGAAATATAGGATGTGCTTCTATGCTTCTAAAAAAACTACATGAAAATCAAAGCACATTAGTTGCTGAGATTAAAAGCGGGATTAATACTTAATCACCATTAGCGAGGGGTATTTTCATCCACAGATTTGGAGCCCATGTCCAGCCCAATCCATCTGAAGTGATCGGGCCCACCCCTACCAGTCCACCATGACACCGATTCCTTCCTCCACCAGCGAGGGCTGCGTCATGGCCGCCTCTGGCGACATGCTGTAGATGTGCCCGCTTGTCAAGGAATATCAGCGAGGCCTATGAAATAATGGCAAAAAAATGTGTTTAACAAATAATCCAGGGAGAGGCCCTCATACCAAATGGCTTGATGATACAGTTATTAATGTTGACTTATAATGTTGCTTATTATCCATGATAACCTTTGTGACGTGCTTACTCATGATAACTTGGTTTATTGCATATTGTATACTCTTACAGTCTAATAATAAAGGAACGTCGCAACGCCATTGACCACGGGAAAAAAACATTCAATGTTTTTTATCCAACTGTTCTTAATTGGATGGCGAACAATGTATAACATTCTCGTAAAGATGGTCGGGGAAGTCAAACAAGCGTTAATCGAGCTCTCGATATTGCACAAAGTGATTTGGTAAAAGAAACCTACAATTTTGTATTCAATTTGAGCATTATATATTTTAACAATAATTCTTTAGGTCATTTTCCCATTTGTTTAAAACAAGCGTTGGAGTCTATTGGTACTAGATAACCTCGAATGATAGTTTTATGTGTTGGAATCTTTAGTGGATATAGCAAGCTATAAAGCATTTCTATATTTAGTGGTAAGCATTTAAATATGTTTTGTAAATTTGAAAGATATCAGTGCAATATTGGTAACTGTTGCCTTGATTTGTGTAGATTAAAGTATAAAAAACGATTTGGATGTGGCTACTTGTCAAGGCATTCGGATGCCAAAAATTCGTGACTGGAAACTCAAGCAATTCCACAAAGTTCCGAAACAAAATGATTTGTGAGTCCTCTAATAGTATAATATACGTGCTCTATAATGGACCAATTATTCTTTTTTTTGTTTTATTTTTATAGATGTTCATGCGGCCTATATGTACTAAAGTACATCGAGCTGTTTGATGGGTTAGGACTTACAAAATAATTCACTCAGGTTTAACATTTACATTATACACTAAGAACTTTAAATATGTGCCTACTTTATGAGTAATAAACATTTTTCCTTGTTTGTCCAGTACGACATCAATGTTTTTAAGCAACAATTATTGGGAGAGTTGTTATTGTCTGATAACAATATTATTAAAGATGTGAAAAATGATATAAACAAGATTGTCGATTCGCTCTAGATTTTATATATTACATCAATAAATCTTATTTATTTATTCAAGTGATGCAACTTATTTATTTATTCAAGGGATACAAGTTACTATTTATTTATTCAAGGGAGTGATCAAATTTGCTTGTAATAACACATTTGAGATTTTTCACATTTATAATTTATGGATTTTCGTTACGGGGAAGTTTCTCATCATATCGCCATTTTTTTTACAAAGGTAGTAAAAAATGGCGGTATGATGAGAAATTTCCCCATAAATAAATAAGTTGCATTCCTTGAACAAATAAATAATATTTATTGCTGTAATATATAAATTCTAGAGCGAATCGACAATCTCGTTTAGCTCATTTTCACATCTTCAATGATGTTGTTATCAGGCAATAACAACTCTCCCAATAATTGCCGCCTAAATACATTGATGTCGTGCTGGACAAAAAAAAAGTTTATTACTCATAAAGTAGGCATATATTTAAAGTTCTTAGTGTATAATGTAAATGTTAAACCTGAGTGATTTTTTTGTAAGTCCTTTTGTTTTGGAACTTTGTGGAATTGCTTGGGTTTCCAGTCACGAATTTTTTGGCATCCAAATACCTTGACTAGTAGCCACATCCAAATCGTTTTTTATTACTTTAATCTACACAAATCAAGGCAACAGTTACCAATATTGAACTACTATCTTTCAAATCTACAAAAGTTATTTAAATGCTTACCACTGAATGTAGAAATGTTTTGTACCTTGCCATGTCCACTAAAGAGTCCAACACATAAAACTGTCATTCGAGGTTATCTAGTACCAATAGACTCCAGTGCTTGTTTTGAACAAATGGGAAAAGGACCTATAAAATTATTGTTAAAATATATGATGCTCAAATTGAATACCAAATTGTAGGTTTTCTTTTACCAAATCACTTTGTGCAATATCGAGAGCCTGATTAACGCTTGTTTGACTTCCCCAGCCATCTTTACGAGAATGTTGTACATTGTCCGCCATCCAATTAAGGGCGGTTGGATAAAAAACATGAATGTTTTTCCTGTGCTCAATGGTGTTGCGTCGTTCCTTTATTATTAGACTGTAAGAGTGTACAATCTGCAATAAACCAAGTTGTCATGGGTTAGCACGTCAGAAAGATTATCATGGATAAGCAACATTATAAGTCAACATGAATAACTGACCCTATCATCAAGCCATTTGCTATGGGAGCCTCTCCCTGGATTATTTGTTATGAACACATTAATTTTTTTTGCCATTATTTCATAGGCCCTACTGATATTCCTTGACGAGCGGACACATCCGCAGCGCGTCGCAGGAGGCTGTCGTGACGCAGCTCTCGCTGGCGGAGGAAGGAATCAGCGTTGTGGTGGACTGGTGGGGGTGGGCCAGATCGCTTCATATCGATTGGGCTGTTCATGGGCTCAAAAATCTGTGGATGAAAATACCCCTCGCTAATGATGATTAAGTGTTAATCCCACTTTTAATCTCAGTCACTGATGTGCTTTGATTTTCGTGCAGTTTTTCTTTTAGAAGCATAGAAGCACATCCCGCTAAGGTCGCTAAGGTATTTGGTGGTTACAATAAGTGGCTCTTTCTTGATGGTAAAATATTAGTATTAGTTTTGTGTTATTTAACAATCGTGACGATTAGTAAATTTTATTGGTGATTCTCATTGGTTTTATTCTGGTGACAGTATCTATCCATGGGGTGCTTGTCGACGCAACTCCTAGGTGTGTTTGATCATCCGAAGAAGAATTGTATTGAAAAGTGCTTTTGTAACTGGACATAGGTCTTCGGTGCTTGTTCAATATTTCAGAATGCCCCTACATTCAGAGAACACATCCCACTAAGGTATGCACTCTCCTGCAATTAATTTGACACAATTTTTCCATCTGTAGGCTGCACTGCCCTTTTATGTGTTCTTTCACGGTTGTGTTAATGTCTGACTAGTTCAGTTGCTTCATCAACTTCTACAGAGCTTCCCCCGTCCAGAAGCTTTTAGACGTAAAAGGACATGGGATCAGGATCAAACGGAGATTGAAGAGCCTACCTTGCATCACCTCGTGACAGTGATCATTAAACGATTTCGTTGGGCTCGACTGCGAGGTTGCTCTTGTTGGACTGCTACTGAGCTGGTCACCTTCTTTAGATGAACTGAAGATATTCAAGGTCAAGGGTGATGAGAACGAGGACGATGGCAGGGTTGGAAATTCCGGAACAAAATTTCCGAGTCATTTTGGACCCCTCCGATACAATATTATTTCAGCTGAAATTTTTAATTTTTTTAATTTTTCCGTGAATTTTGGTAATATTTGTTCAAAATTTCAGAAATTTCGGAATTTCGGTGAGTACCGATCAAATCGGCTAAACCGAAAAGTTTAACCCTGGGCGATGGCATGTGCATGTGCAAGGCCAAGATCACTGTCATCTGATTCATATACCTCCCGGTCATATACCTTTCGGAATTGCTGCGTTTCCGCTTCATGTTGACATTGCTAGGGGCATAAATACTGTTACTTAGTCTCTGTCCTGGGATGGATGTTGGGGGCTATACTTGCGCTAATTTTATCTCTGTCCTGGGATGTCGAGGGTTAAACTTTCCGTTAAATCTAAATTGTAGGTGTCTCTTTGAGTTCTCTATATTTTTTTCCTTTAAACTGGGCATGCCTGGTTCAGAATGAATGTTCTTGTTTCGAGAATTATGTCTCTTCTCTTCGTTCAACAAATTTGATGTTGGTCAGCCACAGCTCCAATTACTTGAAATGTTTGCGACTTGATATTTGAAGATGAAAACATAATACTTGATGGGTTCATTGAAATCTGTTTGGTACATAGGTTCTAAAGGTTTTCAGGGATTTTGCAACAATGAACCCACGAGCATTAGGAAATTTGAATTTTTAGGCATAACGTTCCAAATTACAGCCCTTGTGATAATCCGGATAATAAAAATATGTGGAAGTTTGCTTTTTTACATCTTGCTGCATTTTTTTTACTGTTTTCTTTGCATGTCGGTATATTAAATCTAATCGAACATATAGAAGTGAAGTGAATCATGGTTATGGAAAACAATAAAGGTACAACTGGAAATATGTGGAGTGAATTAAAGAATGCATTGATGAAAAATATATAAATACGAGTGTGCACAAAATGTTCCATTCCCAAAATATTAACCAATCATAAAGACCCAATTAGTTTGAATAGGAACTAAAATATCTCTTTACGGTAAATTATATAAATAGTATTGAAGTAAGGAGAAATAAGATCCAAATATTTGTGAAATTATTTATCTATCCCAATAAAGAACATAAAGTAATCCAAACCAATTAAATCATCTGTTTAAAGAAATCCCGTTATTCAAGGGAAAATTGAAAAAAAATCCAAATCAATCTAATGATTTGGATTTTCCAACTTCCAGAGTGTGGAGGGTGGTTCAAATCTGTCCCTTGCACACCAGGTGTTCGACGTTGGTTTAGCACAGCCGAATGCCATGCCAGCCCAAGGCACCCGCACGAGCACCTGGACGTCTTCGCGCCCGTGCCGGCCGGCGCCACCCCAGCCGCAAGTCGATTTTGTCCAACTTATAAATCCGACGAGCTCATCAAGTGGCGCACAGTTAAATTTCCACGAATTAAATTTGAATGCAATATTTGAAAATTCATAGCTAATCCAAATGAAAAATGAATTCTCTCACAAATATATTTTTTTATGCCTGAATATAATTTGAATCATACTAGTAAATAACTAATTGTTAGGCTTAAATTCATATTTACTAATGTGTCAATTAAGTAAAAATATGTCACAATGTATATTTTTGGAGAAAACGTTAAAACATGCATAGAAAAGTTGAAGAGCAAACAAGGGTTGTTAATGCCTCACAAGTAGTCTTTTCTAGTATTTGGTATGGCCCTAACTTCTAAATTTAACTCAGGACCATAGTTTGGAGTAGAGCTGCGGAGCGGCTAGAACCTTGCTACAATCCTCTATTCATTTTTTTCAAATCATTTCAACCCACTGTAAGCTGAGTCTATTTGGTTAGGATCTAATTTAAAAAGAGGTGGAACTGAAGCGCAAAAAAAAAAACCTAATACAATTATACTTGTTTTGTACAACGAGCTATTTACTTTACTTTCAACCTCTATTCACATATACATGTGGCCAACGGGGATGACATTGCTCACTAGTCACTAGCGCTAGAAGTTAAGAAGTGAGAGACAACACAAAGAGGGTGAATACGAAAAGAGTGGTTCACAGCGAAATGTTTTGCAAAGCTCTCTAGTGCAAAGTAAAAGTAAATAAGTACTTATTCCATCCTAAAATATAACAACTTCTAACATTTAACCTTTATTTCAAAATATAACACCTTCTTTACCTATATTATCTTATCAACCAATCGAAATCTTCCACCTTTTAATTTCTCTATTTATTTCCTCTTCCTCAACTAATTACAACCTTCTTCAATTTAATTTCATCTTCTTTCTTATAATTCTATGTCCAACCTTTCTTACCAAGGTAGTAGGTCTTACCTTAGTATAACTATAACATTATGCATAAAAACTTTTCATAAAATAAATTCATTCGCTCTTTTTTTCAACAACCCCCTCCCTCTACCCCCACCACTCCAAAATAAAAAATTTGCTAACACGTCTAGCAAAGTTGAATGCAAATGGGCTTGATGTTTCACAAGTAGTCTTCTTTTTTTTCTGGCACATTTAACTATTTACTATTTTTATATGTGGTATTTAATTATTTGTTAGAGTCATCATTGGTCTATAATATATAGATCAAATGACAAATAGTTAAATGTCCCGAACATTATGTTAAGGGAGTATCTAAGAAACTGTCGCAAGATTTTTGGTTAAAAATTTTCCGATATAACTATGGTATAATTGAAGTGTAATTATATTGTAATTGCATTATAGCTACGATATAACTTATTAAAACTTACATTTAACAATGCTTTAGTTATTCATCGAAAAAAACAATGCTTTAGTTAGATAGCATTGGTATCTTACACATGACATGTGTGAAATTTTTTTCTAGCAATTTTTTTCTCTTTATATATAAATCTTGAGGCGATACGATGTCACAAATATGAAAGTTTTGGGGGAAAAACTTGTGAAAGTTTTCAAGCAAATCCGCCGTGTTATTATCTCTTTTCCGGCCCCGAACTGTTCGTTCCCTGCCTCACTGGTAGCGGCGCTTGTCAAGCGCCGCCATTGCAGGACGAGCGAAGCCCTAAAGATCGACACCGTCACGGCGGCGGAAGGGGGAGGAGCGTCGTGGCGACCCGCTGCTCCCCGTGCCCGTCCGCTCCAACTCTCCAGAAACCCTAGGTATATCGCTCGCTCGTCGCTCGGCGCGCATTCCGCCCCCCTCCCCTCCCATTTTCCTCGTGCCAAGCGAAAATCGATCCATCCTGATGCAAATCTGTTGCTCTTGAGGCAGATCCTGTGCGTGTCCCAAATCCATATATACTAGTTGTACTAGTAGGCAACGATTTGTAGTGTTTTAGAGCAACGGGACTATCCCCACTAATTTAAGCAGCGTTGCGATGGCGATTCCAACTTCGAGAACCACAGCGATTTCTAGTGTGTGTGTGTGTGTGTGTTTTGGTCTTTTGGTCTTTTGGAAATAGGCAGTGCAATAGTGTATAGGATGAGCATGTATGCTCGTAATTAATTGAATCATAATGCCACTTGCTCCTATTACTGTATCATCTGTATGGTTTGAGCTTCACATATTGTTTGCCATATTTAGTACCTATATGCTCTTGAGTGTCTTCAGTGTATTGATTTCTGCTTCCTTTTTTTTTTTACTTGATGTGTGTATAATCTACACCAAGATGTTCGACAATTGCGAGGTCACTATAATCGTCTCTGGAGCGATGCATCGTGCTAAAAAGGCAAAGGTGGAACCATCATCTGCGTTGAGGTCAGACAAATTCAGCAGCCTACCTCAAGAGATAAAGGTCACCATCCTCTCCAAGCTGAATTCCTTAGATGCTATTAGAGCCAGCATCCTATCCAGTGCTTGGAGGAATGTGTGGACTACTTTGCCAGAAATATATCTTTGTGATTTGTATCTCAGCTGGGGTTCCTCTGAAACGACACAACGCTCCAACTTTATTACGCTCGTCGATCTGGCCCTTTTGCTCCACAATGGACCTCTTGCTTCCTTTTCAATTCTAGGGTTCAAAAGATACCATGATGTATTTGATAGGTGGATGTACATGCTGTCAAGGAAAAAACCAAGGTCCATTACAATCAAGTTTTACTCTGGGCATAACTATAAGATCCCGTCAAACCTCTTCTCTCTCAGTGATTTGGAATATCTGCAGATAAAAAGATGCATCATCGGTTTGCCTCAGGAGTTTGAAGGTTTCAAGCGGCTAACTGTCCTGAATCTGAAATATTTCTCCTCAACAGACAGTGACATAAATAATCTGATCTCCTCATGCCCCTTGCTGAGTACATTATGTTTGAAATATTTCGAGGGTATCACTTGTCTCAGTATTCAAGCTCCAGCACTGCAGGATTTAGAGGTTAAAGGGAACTTTCAAGATTTTCATCTGCATGCACCTAATCTGTCCAATTTAGATGTTTCACTTGACAAAACAGAAGCCCAACAATCTGTTGTAGTTGAAGGCAACAGGAAAAATTATCTGAAGCAAGCTATGGTCAGCCTAACTAGCATAGTAAGACTTGTTATGAAAAGATGCATCATTGCCTTGCCTCAGGAGTTTGAAGGTTTCAAGCAGCTATTTGTCTTGAATCTGAAATATTTCTCCTCAACAGACCATGATATAAATACTCTGGTCTCCTCATGCCCTTGGTTGAATACATTGCGTTTGAAACATTTCGATGGTATCAGTTGTCTCCGTATTGAAGGCCAGGTACTGCAGATTGTAGAGGTTGAAGGGAAATTTGAGGACTTTCATCTGAATGCACCTAATCTGTCCCATGTGTATATTACACTCGACAAAACAGAAGCCCAACAGTCTGTGGCAGTTGTAGGTGACATGAAAAACTACATGAAGCAAGCTTTTGTCAGCCTAACTAGTATAGAAGAACTTACTATAAGTGGCTCATTCTTGACGGTAACATATTATTAGTTTTGCTTTATTTAACTATCATGCTGATTAAATTTTATTGGTAATTCTCATTGGTTTTATTCTGGTAGCAGTATCTATCCAAAGGGTGCTTGTCGATGCAACTCCCAGGTGTGTTTGATCATCTGAAGAAGATTTGTATTGAGAAGTGCTTTTGGAACTGGACAGAGGTCTTGGGTGCTTGTTCAATATTTCAGAATGCCCCTACTTTCAGAGAACTTGAGATATGGGTACATCTCCATCCAGCCTCGTGATGTTAAATTGACAATATTTTTTGTCTATCTGTAGACTGCCGTGCCTTTCTGTTGATTGTGTTCTTCGTGCTTGTGTGTAACTGTGTATGCCTGACTAATTGCTTCAACTTCTACAGAGCTTCCCACGTCCAGAAGCTTATAGGCGTAAGACAATATGGGATCAAGATCAGACGGAGATTGAAGAGCCTACCTTGCATCACCTCGTGACAGTGGCCATAAACGATTTCGTGGGGCTCAACTGCGAGGTTGCTCTTGTTGGACTGCTACTGAGCTGGTCACCTGCTTTAGAGGATCTGAAGATATTCAGGGCCAAGAACGTTAACGATGAATACATGTGCATTTGCAAGGGTCTTACCAAGTTACTGGCTCTCCCGAGGGCGTCTAGCAAAGCCAAGATCACTGTCATCTGATTCATGTACATCCAGGTCATTCGGCTGCGTTTTTGCTTCATATCGACGTTTGCTTGTGGCAGAACTACTGCTGTTAGTCTGTGTCCTTGGATTTTGGGGGTTATGCGTTAAATCTAAATCTTAGTAGTCTGTTAATTCGCTCCATCTTCCCTTTGAACTAGACATGCTTTGCTCAGAATGAATGTTCTTGGTTGGAGAATTGCCATGTCTCTTCTGTTCGTTCAACAAACTAGAAGTCGGTCAGCAAGCTCCATTTACTTCAAATGTTTGCGACTTGATATTTCAAGATGAAAAATATAATACTAGTGGTTGATCACTGAATTCTGTTTGGGGCTTCAGGTGAATTCCAAAAGGCTTTCAGGGATTTTGCAACAATAAACCCACGAACATCGAGGAATCTGAACTTTGAGGCTTTAATGTTCCAAATTGTAGCCCTTTGGATAATACAATCCAGATAATAAAAATCTGTAAAAGTTTCACTCTTTAAAACTTTTTTCAATCGTGCTTTTTTTTTAGTGTTTTGTTTGCACGCTGGTTTATTAAATCTAATCGAACATACAAAACTCCCGATAGCATAAATTCTACTAAATGTATAAAAGAGAGTTGATCCAGTTTATAAGAGAGACCGGCCCTAAAAAACTTACACCTTTCTCATACTTATTTTACCTACCTGAGCATTAGTGGTGGAAGTGTAAACAATTGGTATTATATGCATCGGTTCCATGACTTATGATCCCCGTGTCTTTTGCTTGAAGGCACAACCGTACCCTAATGGAAAGGAGCAAAGCAAAGCACCTCTGATTATATTAACATAAACAGAGAGCACAGGTGTTTGGGCCTTTACAGAACAGCTAGCTAGCCCATCAAAGATGGATTATAATTCTACAGTGCGTTCAGCCAGCTGTTGTCAGTCTTCAACCTGATGCATAGTATGTGGTCTAGTCAAAACTCAAAAGGTTTAAACTTTACTGGCTGATCAAAAAGATCTGGTGGAACAAAATGTTGGCCAAAGATGAAAAGATCTGGAGCTAATTCCTTCATCCCGAAATATATATAACAATCTAGAATTGGATAGAACGTATCCTAAATTCATAGTACTACAAATCTAAACAATTTTATTCAGATTCGTAATACTGAATACGTTTCATCTAATCTAACCAAAATCACTTATATTTTAGGACGGAGAAAATACAATATCGATAAACATTTTGAGAATAACTAAGAAAATGAAGGGACAACCCGACACTACAAGTACTTCCTATGTATCAAAATGTTATTACCTACTATCTGATTCGATATTTTCTAGTCCAACAAATGTCTGCCAGACTCCTTCTACTAGGAAATATCCAATCTGAGAACTAGATAGTAACGTTTTGGGACAGCAAGCAGTAGTTATAAGTTTCATACGCCATCAGCTAAGCTAGTTTGATAAGATTACACTCGATCTCGATCGACCTCGTACCCGTACATGCGTCCTTCCTCTGGGAGTAGCCTTTCACCTTTCTTCTTAAAGATGGAAAAGCGAGAGAGATGATCAAAACGTGCATGCATGGCGATCGTTAGTGCTAGCTGTGGGCTGTGGCCGGCGATCACACGCTGGCCTCCGATAAAATTAACAAATTAATGGACGGCCTGACCAAATGGCGCATTATTCAGATTCAGGCGTGTAGCCACCTTTCCGGCTTTCCGGCGCGCGTTGCCGGCCACCACCGGTCGCCACGGATGAGACCGAGCTCCGATCCGGGCAGTTCAAGTAAGCAACTGACCGTACGCCTCAACGTGTACAGCACTACGCTAGCATATACCAGTACTACTCCGTTTTTTAATAGATGACGCCGTTGACTTTTTCTCACATGTTTGACCATTCGTCTTATTCAAAAAATTTACGTAATTATAATTTATTTTGTTATGAGTTGTTTTATCACTCATAGTACTTTAAGTGTGATTTATATCTTATACATTTGCATAAAATTTTTGAATAAGACGAATGGTCAAACATGTGAGAAAAAGTCAACGGCGTCATCTATTAAAAAATGGAGGGAGTATATGCTACAGCCTACAGGTAATCAATCCTCCTATCTCAATACAAATGCAACCTAGCTAATACAGATTTTACATATTTTTTTTCATATTCGTAGTTTTAGAATATGTCATATTTATAGTAGGTTGCATTTATATATTTATAGTAGGTTGCATTTATATTGAGGAAGTACATAATTCACTAGACTAATAATGCATATGTAAAACCTAATATCGTGTGTGTCGCTAGAGTAGTCATCTCTAAGATATACAGGGAACTATATATATTTTGGAAAGTACAACCATTTCGCTAGGAAGTGGGACAAAAAATTCTAAAATTTGAATAAACTTTGATAAAGGCATCTCCAACACAACTATAGGTATATCACTTCTCATATCAAATTTTGCCTAGCATAGAAAAAAATGGTATGGTTTGCTTTCAACTCAGCCACACTGGACAATACATTGGTATATTTTTATTTCTCACTGGATATGCTCTCTATTATTGAGTGTGATTTGGTTAGCCTCTTAAAAGGTACCTGCTCATTACGGTTGGGTTCAAGCCGCGCGATGTTAGAGGCGACGGAAGATGATAGAGCGCGGCTTGACGTCTCGTCTGATAGAAGGGTGACTGTCGTTGCATTTGTGATTGTTTTGTCTTGATGCTTAATGTCCTCAGCAATGAGTGGCGATGTGGGCTACAGGTTGGGGTGCCAACTACCAAGGAGGTTTTTGGTGGCGGTTGTGGCCGGACAACATACATAGACTCGATAATACCATGGAAAACGTTGATAGAATCGGATGTGGTACAAACGGTATATACGGCTAGATACAGTGACCTAGTTTCACATGAGCGAGGTGGTTGCAGCAAGAACAGAAGACGATGAACCCGTTAGCGGTATGGATGCGACTGAGATGGCTAGATCCGACATAATGACCGGTATACCCTCTAATACGGGAGTTGTCGGATCTAAATCGAATGGATCTAGTCGACGGTATCGACGGTAGGGACAACGTCATGAAGGAGCCAGTTAAAGATGAACAGGGATTGCATGAGTTTGGGCTGCATATCAAAATCAACCTAGTACGATTTTTTGGCGCAGCATGCTCTTCATGTAGCAAAAGTCAGCATGCTCTTCATGGATTTAACCACACATTTATTATAGATCCATATATGGCTTTACACGCTTGAATATGTACAACTAAATTAACCACGCTCACTTAACCTCTTTATCTTATCCGATTTTGCTAGATATTTGTCATCAAATTTCTCCCCCTAATATTTGTCAGATGTAATTACAGTACAATCGTAGTGTAATTACACTGTAACTTGCATGTAATTACACTGTAACTATAATGTAACTTGTATGTAACTTTCAAGAATCTCTCGGTAACATGTTATTTCAGTAAAATAGAGGTCGTGGGAACAAATTCTTTCATATATGTGTGTGATGTGATTTTTTTCTTCCTCCATAGAACAAATCTTGTAATAGATCTAACGATTCAAAATTACGTGAAACTTACATACAAGTTACACTGTAGTTACATGCAAGTTACAGTGTAATTACATACAAGTTACATTGTAATTACACTACGATTGTACTATAATTACATCTGTCAAATTTTTAGTAGAAAATTTGTCGACAAATGTATAGGTGGCCCCACACACTGATCACTCGATGAGGTTGGTGATCGCCGTGCAAACGATCGCTATCCGCGCGGCGTACGAGCCGTGCTGCGCGATCACCGGCGGCACGGCGGCGGCGGCGTCGTCCTTGCCAGCGAACGCGGCGTCGCACTGGCGCGCGAGGGACGCCGCGTCCGCGGCCTTGCCCTTCCCGGCGGCGTAGTCCCGCGCGTTGATGTCGTCGTGCGCCTCGGCGAACGCGAACCCGGCCGCGCGGTACAGCTCCCCGCACCGCGCGAGCGCCGCCGCCGCGCCTCCTCCTCCTTTCGCCAGCAGGTCCCTGGCGTCGTACGCGGCGTTGTCGGCGTCCACGACGCCCGTGAGCGCCGCCACCTTGGCGAGTCCCCAGGCGTCGGCGCCTGGGCTGTCGTGGTGCTTGCCCAGCTCCGCCACGCAGAAGCCGTAGTCCACCCGGGCGTCCGCGTCGGCCGCCGCCCTGCACGTCGTCACCACGGTCGCGTCGACGGCGACGACGCCGAGGACGGCGACGGCGACGGCGAGAAGGGCAGCCGTGTAAGGCTTCATCATCATCAGCATCGTCACCATACTCGATCGATCGTGTGCGCGCGACGAGGACGAATGAGCTGAGACGTGGGAGTGATGATTAGCTCGCGTGATTTTGAGAGATCGTTGCAGTTTGCTGGGATAGAATTGATGGCGGTGAGGGGATCACCGGGAAGTACGTACGTCTACTTATAGGCGTATGGTTTGATGGGGCTTTTGGTTAGGCTCGTCGAGATGTGCGGCGCCTTTCGCCGTGCCGCGACCCTGACGGGCCACGGGTGTATAATGCAGGGGGGCACAGGTGGTAGTCCGGTAGAACCCCACGTACGTATGGGTGTATATGCGCGCGCCCGGGCGGCCTCAACGGCTTGATGGCTTGCATGTTTGATAGAGCTCTCTCGAAGCTACAACCTAACCAAATGATTCTAACTTAACCTAATAAAACGGAGCGATGCTGCAGTGCTCCTACGAAATAAATTAGGCGTGGTGATTGGATCCAGGGACTTAACTTTAGTCTCTGTATTTAAACACTAATTTATAATATTAAATATAGACTACTTACAAAACTAATTATATAAATGAAAGCTAATTTGCGAGACAAATTTTTTAAACCTAATTAATCCATAATTAGATAATGTTTACTGTAGCATCACATAGGCTAATCATGGATTAATTAGGCTCAATAGATTCGTCTCGCGAATTAGTCCAAGATTATGGATGTGTTTTATTAATAGTCTACGTTTAATATTTATAATTAGTGTCCAAACATCCGATGTAATAGGGACTTAAAAGTTTTAGTCACATCTAAATAGGGTCTTAGAAAGGTGAAGAAAGGTTCGAGCTGCTCCACAAACTCCGCTCTAAACCTTTAAGAGTTTGAGTCCTTACAAATAAGCCTTAAGTACGACTCTCAATTCCCCAAACCGTAAATGCTACTCACACTAGGCATGATCAAAATTTAATGGTGGTTTAGTATAAAAGTGCAAATATGTTGTTACCTGTTAGCTTCTTCCAAGCCTATAACATCCTCATCAAAAGCTTTACACATCAATACATTAGTAGAACAGTAAATAATATAAACTCTGATCATTGTTAATTGTAGCACCACATCTTGATCCAAATCAATCACCAATACTATATTTCAACCAATTAAATTAATTTTGAACAATCACACACACTTCTTTGTAGATTTCCCATTTTGAGCAATGGGCTAACTAGTTTACCAATAAGCTTGTATATGGCATTATGGGCTTGTTGAGTAGTACTGGCTCATGTTCGCACGGTATGATTTTGGCTTATAATGGAACTTTCATATTGTTCTAACCCTCTCATCTTCTATATCTATTAAATTAATGAACATGAACGGGATCAACTCATTGAGATTGAAACTCTAGTCTAAAAATTTAGATGAAAGATTAGGATTTGGGATTTCTCTGATCATGCGAGAGGGAAGAGAGGCAAGGGCTTTGCGAACAGAGCCTTGGTGGATGAATGAAGAGTCAGAGAGCAGATGAGCTAGGGGACAGAAAATTGATATGGGCAGCTCCCGCAGGGTCTAGAGAGGCATGAGGCAGATATCAGAGATAAGGGACAACAATGGGGTGCAGATAATTGGGCACCACGACTAGGCGAAAGGCAGGCGGTTATGCACATGAACAACCAAGAAAGTGTCTAAGGGAGGAATTGTGTTGCCACCACGTGCACCATCTCTCTCTCGATCTAGCTTTGCCTGGCTCACTCTCAGATTCATGAAATCAAGACATGAGCACACGTGAGAAATGAGCTAGGATTAGTGCAGTGTTGAAGCCTAAAGGTGTTGCCCTGCTGAGCCTTGGGCCAACTCTTACCGGCCAAATTTCCGAGGTATATATATCTACAAGTCGTTGCTGCGTTGAACTCCAGGCCTACAGTTCCCACATTGACCGGAAAGCTTTAACCCCAATATTGCCATTATCAAGCTTATGAGTCGCATGCATTTGTTGTCAAGCCGAGACCTAGCACTGATCGAACTCAAACTCCCACACCCCACAGGCTTAACCAAGATAGCTATTGAGCTCCGACTTCCATACCACTGTGCTACATCACCGACGACCTCATCATGCAAAACTTCTGTACGTTCCCTTGCATCGATCAATGAAGAAAACAAGGTTCTCCTTTTTCCGTAGCACAACTCCTCCGTTCGCTAATCAACCACAATCGAGCTCTATGGTTTGAACTGTGAAAATAATATATGAAACAACTTAATGTAATTTATGGATAAATTTTTATATCTGTGTTATTAGCGGTTCAAAAATTCACCTCTGAAAAAATGGACCACCGTGTAAAAAAAAACCTAAAATCAACTTCGGGCCTGTTGGCAAGCTGGGATTGCAGCTGTGGCTGCTGTAGCCCCTGCTATCTTGGAGCTAGCCGGACTTCCGGTTGGCAGCTGAACAGGCCCTTCTAAATCAACGCCGTGTTTAGTTCCAAAATAATTCTTTAAACTTCCAATTTTTCTATCACATCAAAACTTTCTTACACACACAAATTTCTAACTTTTCCGTCACATCGTTCAAATTTCAACCAAACTTCTAATTTTGGTGCGAACTAAACATAGCCCAGGTGTTTAAATTTTGAATTTTTCTATGGCAGATAAGCTGTCCATCACACATACACATCAGTCCATGTGCACTTGGCTGCTCGTGCCTGTCAGTCTGGCCATTGGATCTCTAGTGGGGGCCGCCGTTGATAATCCTCATCCGTACGCAGCGCTCCACGCGCCGATCGACGAGCAAGAGATCGATGGCAGAAATGGCGCCGCGGCGGGTCTACCCCGGCCTACGTGTACCCGGTAGCTGACCTGTCGTGCCGCGCGTGTGTGCATACGTGGCCAGGCAGCCGCGAGGAGGAGGCGCCAAGTGTCTCGACCGGTAGCTCGGTGTAGCCCCCACGCCACGCGCGGGCCCCATCCCATGCTGCCCGGACAGCGACATCTCGGCTTCCCTCCTCCCACGCGGCGACGTGGCGTCCCCTGCACGTGAATCGCCCCCGACCCGACACCTCGTCCGTACTCGCTCAGGCACTGTACACTGTAGTAAATCTCGCAGCACAGCTCGCCGGCGCCGGATGGAGCTTTCCGGCCGGCGACTTTGCCGCGGACGAAGACGTGAAGAGAAAACAGTAGGAATTAATAACACTGACATTATGGAAAGATGATACATCGATCGAGCGCTGCATTAAGCAAAGAAATCAACAATGTCGCTCGTTTATTCCTCTAGATTAACCTAGCTACTACTAGTACATGCGTAGCAATCGAACGATCGAGCAGACGAGAAATCAACAATGGCGCTCGTTTATTCCTCTAAGATTAACCTGCATTAAGCGAAGGAAACAACACTTGTTTCGTCTACTTGACGAGGTTGGTGATGGCCGTGCAGACGATGGCGATCTTGACGGACTCCGCGGTCTGCCGCTCGAGCGGCGACGGGGCGACGCCGGCGTCGGCGAAGGCGCCGTCGCACCGCCGCGCGAGCGACGCCGCCTCCCCGGCCTTCTCCTTCCCCGCCGCGTACTCGCGCCGGTTGATGTCGTCGTAAGCCGCCGCGAACGCCGACCCCATCCGGTCGTACAGCTCCGCGCACCGCTCCAGCGCCTCCCGCTCGCCGCCCGCCTTGGCGGCCTGCAGCTTCGCCTTGGCGTCGTACGCCGCGTCGCCGGCGATGCAGACGCCGACGTCGGCCGCCACCTTGGCCAGCCCCCACGTGTCCGCGTCGGGGCTGTCGTGGTGGTGGCTCAGCCGCGACACGCAGAACTCGTAGTCCACGCGCCTGTCCTCCTCCGCCGCCGCCCTGCACGCCGTCTCCGGCGTCGCGCCGACGCCTCCGCTCACGGCGAGCACGACGGCCACGACGACTGCTGCCGCCGCCGCGGCGGGACGGCGAGACGCGCGCTGCGCCATCTGTCTTGTCTGCCTTAGCTCTAGCCTCTAGCTTCCTGCTTCGCTACGAGTGAGAGTGTGAGGGAGTGATGTGGATTTTTTTTTTCTCCTGCTCTGCTTCTGCTGGGTGATAAAGAGGCTGAGGTTGGGGACCACGCGTGTACGGCGGAATTGTGTAGAGTTTTCTGTGGGCCCGCGCCGATAGAGTTGGGCTTTGTTTGTTGGGCCCGGTTGCTCGTCTCGCACAGATTTTGGGTCGTCATGGGTCAAACGGTCTAGAAATAAGTCTATTTATGCTCTCTCGATTACCAGTAAATTTAGGTGATGGATGCGGGCGGTTTTCTGAAAAATGCCCCCTCTAAATTTGTATCCGTTAGATTGGAATCGAAGGGTTTATGGTGACTGAGTGTAAATATACTTCCAATCTAATTAGTATCCCTCAATCGCAACAACCCTCAACAATTGAACCGCTGCGAAATGATTCCCTTACTCGTTTTGAGGTGGTTTTTGATGACGTGGTTCGTTAACCTAGTCCAACTGGTGAGTTAGCATGTGGGGGCACATGTCATCCTCTCTTTCATTCCCTTCTTCATCCTCCCTCTCTTTTCCCCTTATATCTCTCTCCCTTTCCGTTCCCCTTCTCCACAGCGGCGGCGGTGGTGGGAGGACGAGGGGAGTGGTGCACATGAAGTTGCAAGCAGCGGCCTGCACCCATACGTCAGCATGTCACTGCACGTGCCGGTTGTGTTTGTGTTTATGTTCTTCTTGTTGCTGGAAGAGCCGGAGCCAAGGCCGGTGAGCATCTTGGTGGCCTTGTGTTGATGAAAAACACGAGGGCTGGGAGATCTGCTTAACTCCAGTGCAGGTCCAAAGCTCGCCTTCGGGTATGCTAGCGTGTCAGTTGATTTGATCCTGCAATCAACGAGAAATAAAGGCAAAGAAACCGCGATTAAATCCATAAATGACAGCGGATCGGCTAGGTGCCGATGACAAATAATTTATCTTTGAGCCGATGTCATATATGTATCGATCGGCAGCAATGAGTAAATAAGAAGGAACTAAATCTACTCGATCGGCTGTAGATATTAATAATATATACTCCTTGTATCGATATATACTTAAATCAAGTGATTGGGATAGATCGGTCGCCATGCCGAGACAGTATAAATCACTTAGATCGAAATATATATTAATAATGGGACTATATATATGTTCATAGCATAGCCGATCAGATAGATCTAGCATGTATCGGCTAATACTCCGATATTACTCTATATTAAGATATTAAAGCAAGCAGAATATATCAAACAAAAGCCTAATACACTTAAATGCCACAAAATCTTAATATAAAGGGCAGATTTAACATGTCAGTACAGCATATATAACAAGTATAGTCAAATCAGGTAAGATTGGCTGAAACCCCGATACTACCCTAATCGGCAACCAAGAAGCAAGCTAGAGATTGAGATTCTAATTACGACTCATAAGATCAAACAACTGATGCAGCTATAAGTATGAAAAGAAGGACAATATATAAACAATCAAGCCATTGGAAGTTTCATAGAGTGGTAGATATCATGTACAATCTAAACCAACATCGATATTTAACCTAATTGGCTGACCTCTACTAGTAGATGTTAGCTGATTGTAGGTTAGATGACGATATTGCTATAGATTATATAAGATATATGATAACTCGACGGATTACATAAACAAGATTAGAGTATCATAGAGATGGAAGCACTAATCCCGAGAACGCAAGCCGCCATAACAAGTTTTACCTCTTGTTGAAGATCGAAACCGATGCAGCTCAACCCGAAAGCAAGAACTCGTCGAAATAAAATGAAAGCAAAAAGGGTGGCGATGCGTCGAGATTGTATTGAACGTGTGTGTTAATTGACTACATGGGGTTCGGGGTCTATTTATACCCGAGAATTACAAACTATGTCCATATCGGACCCGACTCTTATCTCTAACAAACTCTAAGATACCATAAGTCTTTGCGGCAGACTTTTGCCCAAACATATCTCTAAGGAAATTACATAAAATATCCTAATTAATAGATACGATTGCTTTCTCAGGACTCTATCCATGCATGGCAATCATCTTGAAGCATATCAACTCAACCCGATGACGTACACCAAGTTGTATTGTCGGATTCAGGTCAATCGACTAACCTTGTCCGACTCGAACTCCGCCGATCTTAGCCGTAGCCGATTCGAACTTCAGCCGATCTTACTCTGTTCCCCGATCAATTTCCATCTCGAATTCTACTTTGATTCCATCTCCATCTCCAATACTTAGATTACCAAATTTAGTCGTTAACACATGCCCCCCAAGTCCGGAATATTGGATAATGTTTCGGATTTTCCATATGTCGATTCCAAGAGAAATCCACTCTTACCGTTTCCCGGCAGTTATTTCAGCGCTTTAAATACTAACCATTGTACCCGAGAAACTCACACCGTTTTCTTCCGTTTTCACCGCCGAAGTAAACTTTGCCCTCTCTCTCTCCGGCAATTCCTCCGACGCACAAGGCGATCCCCAGGTGATCCCATCTCCGACCAGATCTCCGCCCGCGGCGATGTCATCTTCCGCCAGCCCGTCTGCCACTCCGTCGGCCGAGTATGCTGAGGTAAGTTCTCATCGGCTAGATCCCTTTTCTTCGCAACAGATCGATTCTCCAACTCCTCATCTCGTTTTCCCCCTTTTGGATTTGTAGCATGTCTCCAACCTAGTTGCAATTCCCAGCCTGTCGCATGAAAATTACTACTTCCTCGGCCCAATCGGCAACCCTGATCCTACCGAGTTCATTATCGGTGAAACCAGTAGGATTCCTTTCAGATTAGCCAACCCAGATCTAGGTCACTGGAAAAATACCTTCAAATCTTGGCCATCTCTTGAGAAAACTCCGCCCAAGAAAAGCTGGACTACATGGTACAAGCGCATGTCGGGTAGCAAGTAGGGCTGTCAAAAAAGCTCGGAGCTCGCAAGCTGCTCGAGCTTGATTCGTTATAGGCTTGATTCGAGCTCGGCTCGAATACTAGACAAGCCAAGCTCAAGCCTAGGCTGAGGCTCGCAAGCCTAGCAAGCTCGAGCTCGAATAGCTCGGCAGGGCTTGATTAGTATAAAATGTATTGCATGTAGGAAGATATTCTTGATGGGTCAATGTATACTTGTCATCGTGCTTGACATGCTCAAGTCTCAAGACCTCATCAATGCTTCTCAATAAAGCAATTATCTGGCTGCTAGTAATAGTACTACTATTCATATTAGATGTAGTAGCTAGCTTTTGTTAATTGTAACGTTTCAAAGCCATGAATTCATGAGAAAAGCTGCAGAGGCTTCATTCAAAACAAGTAGCACCCATTAATTTTGACTACCGATAATTTGCATTAATATCTCTTATACAAAAGTAAGTTCTTTGGAGTTTCACCAAGTCAAGCTGCCAAGCTCGAGTAGGCTCGAAGCTCGCTCGAGCTCGAACTCGAGCTCACTCCCAAGCTCGATCAATATCCAGGCTCAGCTCGAGTTCATGTCAAGCTCAAGCCTACATAGCCAAACTCGCTCGAGCTCAGCTCGTTGACAGCCCTACTAGCAAGAAAGTTCACTGGGACGAGATTGGAATCGGCCAAGCGCTTGCCCTTACCATAGCCAATTCATCTAAAGATGAACCTCTGATGGCCGCTGCCACTTATTTTTGGTCCAACACCATCAATGCCTTTTTGTTCAACCAAGGGCTGATGACTCCAACTCTGATTGACATCACTATGATCACCGGATTAGATGTAACCTCATCGGCTAACCCTATGAGCATGAACACCAAGAATCAATTTGATTTCAAGACCAAAAGTATAGGAGGTTGGTCTGGCTATGTAGCGGCATACATGGGCAAAGGGCCTGTTACTCCTCGGGAACATGTAGCTTTCTTGCTAATGTGGCTAGAAAAGTTCCTCTTCTGTAGATCTAGCTATGGTCCTACAACTAATTGGCAATTTGTAGCCGAAGCCCTAGAATCGAAGAAGCAATTTCCTCTAGGCAAAATCCTCCTCGGCTATCTATACCAAATGCTAAATAATGCATCAGCCAAGATAGCTATCAGATTAGTAGTTGGAGCAGGTGGACCATGGTAGCTGCTGCAAACTTGGCTAAATCTGATAGTCATGAAAGTTGTCAATCGGCCATCTGTGACAGAAGCCGAATTCCCCAGACTGGAGCCGATCATAGAAGATGATGGAGAGGAACGCACCCATCGCAGATGTATGTCTTATGGGGAATATGCATCTACACCAGCCGATGCTAGAGCAAAACTATCGGCTGGGCTGCTTAAAGATTGGTTCTGTAGCTTTTACGAGGGCTTTCAAAAAGACGCTCGGGTCTGGTTTCCTTATGAAGACTCAGCGAACCTTGAACTCCCATCGGACTTTAGGTTTGAGGACATCAATCACGAAAGATACCAAAAGTCCAGGGAAGTTTTCTCAGCCGCAATCAGCCCATGCATCCTTCCCGTTGGCATCCATCAGGGAAGAAATATCCAAGTTTCTTATGAGTTCTATCATCCAATGAGCTCAGCTAGACAACTTGGAATGGGCCAACTCCCAATCGGCTTATTCTTTGCCGATAAGATCCAGTGCCGAGGGGAAATCTCATCAACCTTAACGATGGATCGGCTGCTCAATCTTCAAGGACCTCCTCTGGGCAGCATTGAGAATATAAAGCTGGCAATGTTCAGAAGCAAAAATTTTGATAGGTGGTGGGGTGAATGGAAACTGCATCTATTCCATCAATCGGTTTCCATGTACATGACAAACCTCTTTCCAGATGTTATCCCTTAGGTATGCCCTGATTTAACTTTGTCTGAATGATTTCCTAGCCGATTCATAACTTGACTAATTTTCTTTTTGACTTGCAGACGACAAAATTCTCTCCTCCTCATCAGAGCAATAGTGGCAGGGATATTGAATATGCCCCGGGACTAATTCCAAATGGAGGTGGACCATCTCCGCCTGTCATCGGTTATAATGCCCCCAAGACTTCAACTCTTCTCCAAGGGCTCATCAGAGAACCAGCCGATGCCGGTAAAAAGAGAAGATTCAGATCATCGGCTATGGA